AAAAGCGATCATAATCTAGAGAACTAACTACGAGGTTCCGGGCTTATGGTCCAGGGTTGAGGTTCAAAAAGACGAACGTGAAGAGAGGCAGCTGTACCGTTGTCTCCGAGCTTGGACTTGGACGAGCGGTTTAGCATGTGGGGGCTTCAAGCAAGTTGGGGGTAGGGCCCTTATGATAAAGACCTGCTATTCCAGGTTTTACTCAGGTTCCCTCTTTCTGAAGCTAGTTGCGACCCTGACTTGGTAAGTGCGCCATATTTGTCTATCAAACCTGTAGTATCTTGACGAAAACTTTCCCGCATTTCCACGCACATCCAAAGATCCAACTGTACAGGTAGTTGGGGATGTTCGGAGGTTATGGTGTGAAGTCTGCGTAGTTCTCCTTGGAATGGCCTGGGAAGAGTGAGTGGCTCCAGCTTTGACCCTCTCACTGGGAAAGCTCCTGGATGTTCATCCCACCACAGAAGCCCAGGTCGTCACAGACCTCGGCTGTTCTTGCAGCTCAGGGCCTTACAGGGGTTTAGAGCTCTGGAGCCTGTGGGGTTCGGAGTTTGGGGAGCGGGGGGGGGATCCTCTCGAACGAAGGATAAAGATCTATCCAAGAAGTCCCAGGCACCATGATCTTGCGGTGGTCCCGGAATGAGAGGGGTCCAACGCAGTAGTTGGAAGGGAGAACCGGGTTGAAAAAGACCTGCTGCACAAGCTTTCATGCAAGGAGCAAGCTGCTCACATGGATCACAGTTCTCTTTGGGGAATTGCACGCTTCGAAACCCAAACATCGCAGATCTCGAATCCCTAAGCCCTAAACTCCACATCTCTAAACCCTAAACTCCAAATCCCTAAACCCTAAACTCCAAATCCCTAAGCCCTAAACTCCGAATCCCTAAACCCTAAACTCCAAATCCCTAAACCCCTAATCCCTGACCTAAACACCCTCCACCCTGGCCCACCACGTCCGCACCGACGCTCCGTAGCTCCCGAACCCAATCGTTCCGCAAGGAGAAGGAGCCGATGTAGTCCACCAGCAGCACAACCTCAGAAACCGGAAGCAGAGTTTCTGGGTGGGGCACTCCTCATTAAGAAAGCATGGAATATATGGCTATATATATATATATATGTATATACTAATACACACATACATATATGCAACTTGAACAGGCAGGTTGAAGAGGTGCCCTTCCGAGCAGCATCCAGCCCTCGGAGAGCGGCATCGCGCAGCGCGGTGAAGAAGGTCTCGGCGACATAGCCTCGGATCAGCCCTGGAGCACGAAAACACCGGCTTCGAATCGGGGCTCCATGGAGACAACTGTCCCTGGCCGTACGAGCCCACGAGCAAGATGCAGACATGCCGGCATAGTTCGAACCTTTTGCCACGACCAGCGGCTGTTGTCAAAGATGTAGCTCTCACACCAGACGCGTGTCTGCGCCATCGCTATGGCCTGGCTGGCCGTAGCGGGAGCCAGGATCTGTTGAACCAGCTGCTGCAGGGGCCGCTCTGTGTGTGTGTGTGTGTGTGTGTGTGCGTGAAAGGGGCACGAAAGCTAGGGCAAGCAAGTGTAGCAGGGAAAGGCTGGGACGACGCTAGTCAGGCGAATCTATTGCAGGACAGAAATTACACAGAGAGAGCAAAAGAGAAACGGAGGGAGAGAGAAATAGAGCGAGAGAGAGGGAGAGAGAGAGAGAGAGAGAGAGAGCGAGAGAGAGAGAGAGAGGGAGAGAGAGAGAGAGAGCGAGCAAGCACATGGGGTTTAGGTGGAGAGATATCGGGCTTTCGTTCGGCTCTCCATTGTATTCTTCCTTAGCAGCGCACAGCGAGCACCCCTTTCGCTGTAAAACCCGAGTACAACAATCAAGCACCTGAACCCCGACAATCCTGAAGTCTGACATCTTGCAACACCATAGCCCCTAGTTGAAAGGACCCCATCACAGATCCGAAGTTGAGCTGTCACGGAGCTCACAAAAATGTTGCGGCGCCTGGAGCATCGCTCGGAAGCACTCATCTCCACCCTCCAGGACCGTCACGCGGTTGCCGGTGGAGAAGTGGCCATACTTTTGGAACCTCACGCATCGACAGTGATTGAACAGTCCTCGCAGAACGGCAAGATCCACCCTTGTACATGGTTCGCAGGGGCTAATGAGACAAAGTTAGCATTTTTGTCTTCAACGCCAGCCATCACAATACGTACCATAATTAGCATCGTCATCTTCAGTTTCATGCCATACCAAACCATGCCGATCATAGCAGATCATGCCAGCAATACAACATGCCACGACATATCACACCCAATCATGCCATGGCATGTCATGTGATGTCACATCATACCACAGCATGACATACCTCATTATATGCCAGTTTCATGATGTCCATGATGATGATGGTGATGCCCGTACCATAATAAGGATCCAACCAGTTAGGGTACTATATTAGGGTCCTCTATTTTCGGAAACACTATGAAGCCCATAAACTCTACAGTGCTTTCTTAATAAGACCCCCAAAATGACCTCCCCCTCCGGAGCACTTCGATCCCGGGCGCTTCCGAAGGAGCTCGAGCCACCGCTGCTTCCGCAAGCGCAGGCAGGCCTCCGATTCCTCCGGAAAGTTCCTGGAATTTTGAAAGAGTTCAAGCAAAATACTAGAAGGGTTACTCTAAGGCTACAAGGGTCGCTGTGAGGAATTTTGAAAGGGTTTCTTTAAACGGGATACGAAAAGGGCTGCTATAAGGCCACAAGGGGTTAGTGTGAGGCTTGCTAGAAGGCTATAAGGGTTACTATGAGGTGGGGGGAAAGGGCTTTCGAAAAGTCTTTGTCGTTTCTTCCGGCCCGTCTGGGATTTAGGGGTTTTGGTGTTCCAGAAGCTCTAATCGGCTCTTTTTTTGGAGCTCCTTTTCTGCGAACGCCCGAAGGTCTCCGAGAGGCGCACGCGCGTTTATGGTGCAGGGGTTGAGTCGGCTACTTCGGAGTTTGCGGCTTTAGAACTCAGGGCGCGGCATCGCGCGTGTTCCAGAGTGTGCCGTGCTGGACAGAAATAGGAATACGATGATCCAGTCTCTGAGAGAGAGTTGGCATGAGCTGGCCCAAGGGCAGGGAGGTATCGTGAAGAAGTACGACGAGTCAGAACCATGGGGAGCTGCAATGCTTGTCCGGTGCTCTCAGGACGGCTCTGAGCAAAAACAAGTCGTCCTGTGCGAGAAGGTCGTCTCGATGCATGCGCGGAGCTCTTCGACGGTGTCCTCATGAGCTGGGTCTGCTGCACTCGAAGATCTTACCGGAGTCTGGTGAAACTGAACCCCGACAACTGTTCCAGCGATCGTGCCATGCCAAAACCTGTGGCTTCCGAACAACGTGATCTCACAAAAGAACATAGATGCACTGTCTGCAAACTATATGACACTGCCCGAAACAGACTGCTAAGACAGAGGATCGTACTGACAACGGACTGTGCAGAGCGCGAGACTAGTTGTAGTTGTAGAAACATCAGGAGCCGGATAGCCTTTTTGCATTTTGTACTGCAGTAGTGAACTCTACGGTAGGTGGTTGTGGTCCACTTCCGAAAACTCCACATACCGAAATCCCCCGAATCTTAGGCAAATAGGGCGTAAACCTCCGCACCTTCTCTCCTGAACACCGGTCGGTACATAAGGCCTGTCTACCGCAGAAAGGTCCTGGTCAGTGGAGGGCTCCGTGCTCAGCGCATCTCGCAGCCAACGGCCATAGCGCGTGATGCTCCCCATGCGGAGTTTGTTGGATGTTTACAATCAGGGCGACGCTAAAGAACCGTTGTTTGCTGCAGAGTGTGAGTTTGAGTTGTCTCAGTTTCGAAAGACAGCGGTAAAGTTAGCTTGCGGACTGGTTGCAAGAGGGTGGAGCCTGCATAGGCAGGGCTAAAAAGTCTAGGTACTGCGGAAGTTTCCGAGTGACTGTGGAGGCGTTTAGCCGCGGTTCAGAGCTTAGGGGTTTAGGGGTTTAGAGTTGAGGCTTTAGGGCTTTAGGGTTCCGAGCTTCCGCGACCTGGACCATCGAGTCAAGCCGTCAAACCTCTTTAATCCCGAAGCCGCATCCCTGCAAATTCAAATTTCAAGATCCCAAACCAAATCCCGGCAAAAGCATAAGACTCAAAAAGAAAAAGCACCTCGCGGGAAGCAAGATCAGTTGCGATGTGCGATTCGTTGATTTTGGCTGGTGGGGGTGTGAGGCATGCAAGACGGCCCAAAACCATACGCACTAATTAACATGGCAAAGGCTAGACCCAAACCGTAAACACCGAGTGCCCGAACAAATGTACTGAAAGAGGTCCGGTCCGGATTTGAGGGGTTTGGATCGGGAATGAGCCCAATCCCGCAAGGCACAATCTGTTGAGTTGAGAGAACGGATCTTGGATTGCAATGCATCGCCGGAGGCACTCGGGCGAAAGCGCGGCAACCTTCTTTGTCGCGTCTCATGTTATTCAAAGCCAAAGCTATGTGCAACAGCGCGTCCAGGGGCACAGTCTTGAGCCATCCCATGGGCGCTAAACCAGCATCTGTACATTGAGTTTAAAACTGTGTCAGCGGTTGCACACCAACCATTCCTTGTCGAGCACGGCGGCAGGACTTGCGCAACTGATTGCAACCGAAAGCCCGTATGCGTAAATCCCTTTCCGCGAAGTTGATTGAACTTTCGTTAGCTCTTCCTGCCTTAAAGAATCATGTGAATGCTTGCATGGCGCAAGTTGGCTTATGACTTTCGTCACCCGAGTTGCACTTCGCCCATCAAACTTAAGGACGAGCCCGCCCGATGCCCCATGCCCGTTTTCACAAGCTTCTCTCCTGAAATATTGTCAGTTTCGTGCTTTACCTGAACCGTGGAAATGAAGCCCAACAACCGGATATGTTTCAGCTCAGGGGCTCCTACTTTCCGTCCACGTTGGCTTCCAGCTGCATGATGTAATTTTATATAATCTTGACCCTGTAGTCCTGACCCCGAGCTACGGTCATGGTCATGACGCAACCGCAAAGAATTCATCACTCTGCGGCGTCTGCAGCTTGCTCGTCTCCGATCGCTGCCGAGTTGTCCTGAAATCTGTTGCTAGCCTAGGGGGACTAGGGCTTGCGGCGTCTGATGGAGCAGCCAGGTGAAAAGGACGAGGGCAACTCCAACAAAGCGCTGCGTCGCCTTCACCAGCTCGACTTCGGCATCGCGGGCCTTCGTCGGACAAGCCCGTGACACGGGTATCAGCAGGAGCAAGAACAACAACCACGACAATGACTAGAACCACTAGAACGACGATGACAGCCACAGCGACAACTACGACCACGAACAGAACAACAAGCTGCGCGGCGCATGGGCGCCCGTACACGTGTCTGAGTGTGAGAACACGAAAACATTGGTAAACATGATCGATTATGTATGTACTTGTAGGCTTCAAGAAGGCTTCGGGACAAAATGAAGAGTTTAGGCTCGGAAGTAAAACTACTCTTAGCTTTACTCTCTGTTTTCGGTTGAGCTTCAATCTTTGCATCTCGTTTGAGCACGAGTCCCCGGTTGGTCAAAACCTGACTATTTGAAAGCAATCGTTTCTGGAGCTGCTGTGAAGATCTTTCAGGTTTGGGCTTGCACTTGTCTCACGGGTCTCCTGTGGGCGACAAGACAGAGTGAGTTCGGCATGGAGTCCGGACGGGTTTACACGGCCTCAGCTCGTTTTGAAAGCTTTTGGATGCCTCTGCCTGCGATCAACCTCCCAACCGTCGGCCGCGCCATTCATTTTCCACCATTGACCATGCCATGTCTGGCTGGGTGCAGCTGCTGCTTTAGACTCCCGAGCCCGGCTCCCTCACTCCAGATCTACATCTCAAAATCCAAAGTAGTGCTTCAAGAATTGCCCGGTGGAATTGAAACTTAAACAGCTGCCGGGGCCTCAGGTCATGAAATACCAGGGGCATGCAACTACAAACAGCACGTCAAGTATGGCAAAGGATCTTTGGGCGATGCCAGAACGACCCTCATCCGTAAACCCAAACCTGCTGTAACCCAAGCCTCAAAACCCGATTAACCCCAACCCCAAACCCCTGTAACCCAAACCCCCAAATACCCCTGTAACCCAAACCCAAAACCCCTTGTAACCCAAACCCCCGAATACCCCTGTAACCGTCACCCCTAAAACCCCTTCTTTAACCCTCGAAGGAAGGCACCTGGGACTGTGAGTTCGCCCCGGCGCGGAACATCGGAGCCCGGGCTTCTCGACCAAAGTCCCTGCGCACACCGCGAAGTTTTGGGGGTTTAGGCGTTTAGGGGTTTGCGGTTCAGGGTCGTGCAAACGTGGCAGAGTGTTGCAATCGCTGTGGTCGCGGCAGCAACACCAGCAATAGCAGGATGACCATGGCGGTAACATGAATGAAGAGAAGCTGAACTTATGATCATTGTGATGTTGATTGATGTCATAAAACATCATTTTCTCGAGGCATCACAATTTTGGGTGGACATCATGTTCCCGTGTCCAGGGACAATGGTCCTTGAGAACCAGTACCGTTGCACCGTTGCTACCGTTAGATACTATTGGAATCCGATGAAAACCCCCATCGGAAATGGTGTTCACAAATCATAAACGCTCTCTCTTTGTCGTTCTTGTTCTCCTTGTCTTGAGATGTTAAGGTTCGGACAGGACCTGCCGCAGCAAAGGACCGGAGGAGGTGTGATGGTTCCGACGAAGATGTGGAAACTTTCTGCTGGTCTACCCAACGGAAAAAGGAACACTAACAATAAACAAAACAAATAGTTATTCTTCAAGAGCTACAACAAGCATAACGGGAATTGTATGAACCACCTCCTAAAACCAAAAGATCCCATGTATCTGCCGGACTTCCTTAGAAGTCTTCTCCCTCACTGCGCCTGTCTTCCAAGTCTTCGACATCCAGCGGCCCTCGGACGATCTCTGCGGTCTTAAGCCGAACTACGAAAGAAAGTTTATATATATATATATATATATGTTTGTGTGTGTGTCTGCATGTATCCTGAAAGCTGGCGCTGGATAACAAGTAGAATCTAGAACACACAGTACGGGCGCCGTGGAGGGGGGACAACGACGGTGTACACGGCGCCTTCATGACCAGAGCGAGGATGAGCCGGTTTATGCGCAACTGTGCCGACAAGCAATTACAGTAAGCACAGCACGCAAGTATGAGTTTGTTGGCATGAACCAGCGCTGCATCACAAATTACAGTTGTGTCAAACCAGAGACATCTGAGCTATGAAGAAGTTACGAAGGGTTTAATGGTAAGGGTGCCTAACCAATCATGGTAGCAGAATGAATGCACCGATGGAGTACCGGAACGCTTGGCGGTCTAATCACATCACAGCATGAAGAAGCACTGATTCACTAGATGGACCATGAACCGAACTCCGTTTGAGAACGGCTTAGCGGCCTTACCAATCATACGAGCACAACGAGTAGATTACAAGAGCACTGGTTGGAAGACGAAGGCCTCGGTACATCATGAACAAACTGCCCGAGTCACGGTGGACTTTAAACCAGCGGGGGCAGATCAATCGAAAAGTCGGGGGCCTCGCCAACCTATCTCTACCATAAGGCCACAACATCGCCAATGGACCGTCATACATACCCTCTCTTTTTACAACTTTTTTTAAAATATAAGCATATATGTGTATATACATATACATACGTACATCTATGTACATACCCCCATGGGTGTTTCGTTTCGGCTGGGAAAATCCATTCTGCATCCGCTGGAGCTGCACAACCATGGGTGTAGCGTTTACACAAACATACACACCCGAAGCAAGCAAATCAGCTATCACCCTCTCCGGCTCCTTTTGGAAAAGTTGGGTCAGGTCCTTAAATCACCGTAGCCGTGAAAACTGGAGTTCGGGATACTTGAGCAGGTCCCACCATAACCACGCAACCAGTACTCCAATTCTCTGTTCATTCGGATTTTGGCTCTGTGATTTCTAAGTCGAATTGCTGAATGTATGACTACGTAAAATAGAACCGGATCCTGGGCTTTAAGGATTTTGACTGCCGGAGGATTGAAGACGCCATTCCCTCAACCTTTTAAAGCTAAACCGCAACCCCTAAACCTTAGACCCTAAAACCTTAAAACCTAAACCTCACCTTTCAGCCCCCAGCTGACGCTTGCGCATCCAAATTGCCGATTGCTGTCGCTCGGAGGTGATGGATCAGCTATCCGCCCATTAATGAAGGGGCCTTAATAGTTAGAATAGGGTTTTGGGGTTCCCTATTATAGTTATTATGGCCCCTACATTACTTGGGACTTTCGCCAGTGCTCGGAGAGACCTGCCTGAGAGATGGCGAATCGAATCTGGTCCTCCACTCCCGTCAAGCCGCGAGGCAGCTTCCGTGCTCCAAGCAGCCACCGATCCTGGAAAACTCCGACAGATGCTCACGACTGCGTGCACTGGGTGCCCGTGGCATCCCGCAGCCACCGAACACAGGCGGCAAAGCCCCAGGGTGCGTCACTGAGCTTGAAATCTTCGGCCATGCCTTGAGTCACCGGATCGATGTAGAAGTTGTGGCTTGGGGTGCGTCCCACCTCGTCCTCGCTGAACATGTAAAACCCAGAGCCATCCGGCTGGATGCAGTTGCTACTGCCACAGTCGTAGCCGGAACTGCCGACGCACTTGATTAGGGAGCCATAATGCCGATCGTCGCTCCCGACGGTGATTCGTCGTTTGGATCTCTCCAGCTTGAAGTCGTGATTCATCAAACACTGGCCCTCGAAGAGTATGGACCCAGCGATGGAAAGCGCAGCTGAAACATTGGCATTGAAGTTCCGCAGCTTCAAAGCTATTTGGCCACCCAAGCTGAAACCCACCACAGCTACCCCCAAAGCACAGTTGACGCCAAGGTCCCGCCGGTCGCAGATCTGGCGCAGGCCCTCACCGACTTGCCGGCTTCGGTGATCGAAGTCGCCGCAGCCTCCCGGATAAGCCTCATTGGAACATGTGAGTTTCCGAAAATTCGGGGTATCTCATTTTGGGGTCCCTATAATAAGCATCCTACTATATAGGGTACTATGTTAGGGTCCCTTGCCTCGTTGGTATATTGCAGGGACAGCGCTGCGAAGCCACTGTCGGCCAAGTAGCGGCATGCCTCTACCCCGAAGGCATCATTGTGAACCCTTCTCGTTCCATGCAAGAACACGGCCAGCGGCCATTGTCCGCCATGGACAGGTCGGTATCCTGTCGCCGAAAAGCTCTGGCCCTCGGCGGTGTACTTGAGCTCCAAAGGTACCGGCAGCGCTTGTGCCGCTGCCCAGAGCTGAAGGAGCCGAAGGCTCAGCATCGTAAGACGAATATACATCTGTACCTGTACACATATGTACGCATCTATATATCTGTCTAACTATACATCTCTCTCTCTCTCTCTCTCTCTCTCTCTCTCTCTATATATATATATACACACACATCGAGCCACTACATCGAGCCGCAGATGCCTTTATCGAAAATGTGGGAGATTGGGTCATTTTAGTTGCCGTCGTAATTCCAGCGCCTCTTCGGCTCATTGCTGCAGCAAAAGGAGCAACGGAATGAACGAGCGAGAAAGGGCGAAGCGTACTTGTGCACTCTGCAAAAAGCCCACAAAGAAGCTTTGGAGGCTGCTGTGAAAAGTTGTCTCCCAAAGGCTTTCTTCGAGGAGCTGAGATCGGGACCGTCCATGGTATCTTGACCGAAGTAGCAGATGACTATCGCCACCTGGAGAAGCACAGGCACACCCCGAAGAAGAGCGAAGCAGGCCGCTCTGGACTGAAAGATGCTGACCTGAAGTATACTGTTGTTGCGTTTTTTGCTATATTTCGCAGGTTCTGAGAACTGTGTGACATGAGTGAGCTTAAGCTTGGGACATAACGAAGCACAGCCATGACTGCCAGCTGTTGGCCTTGTCTTTGCATACCCTTCTGGGAGTCCGGACACCACAGGCCATGGCCAGGAGAGCGAGGAAGATGGATTGCGCCGAGTGCGAACTTTCACTGCGCGGGGCTTCACATGCTAGAGTCTGCAAGCTTGTGGACATTTGAGGGGCGTCGGGTGAGTTGAGGAATATGGAGATGAGGATCGGTTTTTGGGCGACCACCACACGACGAATTGCTACGATGACATGCTGCTGGGCTACTGCTGTAATCATAGTACTCATGAGTACCACTACTACCACCACCACCACCACCACCACCACCACCACCACCACCACCACCACCACCACCACCACCACCACGGCTAACACCGCCACCAACTACGACTAGTAATAGCCCCTGGAGTATGAAAACTGGCATAAGCCTGCTGGCTCCTGTCACCTTCATGACGATCCTGCTGGGCTGTATGATAATTCCCTTTGCCTCTCGTCTCTGATGATGCATCTGGGTGGTTGTCAAAATTATGGTCCCTTCGGGTCCTTAGTGTAATACGGCACCTAAATTTGGGGTACCCCCCCAAAAAAGGCCATAATTATTGACAACTGCCCATCTTGAGCAGCCTATGTACATGCAACAATCACAAAAAATCCAAACCCTCACAGCCTCTGAAGACCTTGAGCCCCAAACCCCCCCACTCCAAATCGCTAATATGGGGGCCTTGATAATCAGGGTAGAGGCTTGGGACTATGACTACACTAAGGAACCCCCAAAATAGTATAGGTACTTCTTGAGGCCCCTCTAGTATCCTCATGAGGCCCTAGAAAGGGGCCGAAGCGGATCCCCCTTGCCTCGGCTGGAAGGGCTGCAACGGAACGGTTCCTCCATTAAAGGGTGGACTTCCTGGTGCTGGCTGGACCACCTGAACATGGAACAACAAACTCCAGGGCTCAGGCTTCAGGCTGCGGAGATACGGATTGAGATCTAGGGTTGGGTGAAAAGTTTAAGTCGTAGAGGGTTAAGTCAAGCTGTAGGCTTCAGGATCCATGGGACCGTCAACGTTTAGAAATTTAGGGTTTTAAAGTTACAGGACCGCACTCAAACACTACTTCAAGCTTCCAGCTCATTGAGGCTTCGATGACAACAGGGCTGTGCACACCAGCTGCAGCCTGCAAAAGAGGCGTCAGGATGAAACATGGACGGTGAAGGAGACCGAGCAACTGTCTGCGACATTACTTGTAGCATCCACACTGCCGAGGGAAAAAACACAAGAGTAAGCTAGTGGCAGCAGATGCATGCCGAGGAATTCAAGGCATTCTGAGGCTGCAAGGGTTCGAGCTGAGTTGAGAGTTGGTGTATGTCTATGTACAACTAGCCTACACTCTGCGAAGGTTGGGCAATGAAAAGCAAACGGGAATATGTCACGGCGCACGTATGGGGTTACCTCGTATATGTACTTAATGTACGGGCGAATAAGGCTTTGGGGGATATCATACTATAAATGTATTTAGGCCTGTGAGAGACTTTATTGCTAAATCCCTCTATGTCTCTGGTGCTCGTCATATTCCAACCTTACCGTTTTGTGCAGGGCTGTGGAGGCCGGAGGAGTTTGCCTTCGCGGCTCTTTTGATGGCAGAATTGAAACACTGGCCCAACTCAACTTACATGGAGCCCTGACTTTAAGTGCGCTCCCTAACCACGCCTGGCCATCGTGCGCAGGAGGACCTCAGCTCAAATCAAGGCCGGAGTTTTGGGTGTAGAGTCTGAGGTTTCGTGCATTTTGGCTGTGGAGTTCTATGCCCGTTTTCTGAGGTGGCGACGTTGGATCAACCCCTAACTGCATTGCGAGGGTGGCAAGTGGTTGAGGACCTCTGCAGACGTTGGGGTAGAGAAACTACATGAATCTGTCTGCGTTTCTGTCTGCACATCCGTGCATGTAATAGACACTTCGGTGCGGATGGGAGACAAGCCCAGTAATACTGCATCACGATAAACTTAAACTTGATACTGTGCCACTGCATTTCATGTAGACCCCGGTTTGATTACCAGTTCCTTCGTCAAAATGACGACAACGACCACAAAGTCGCGGCACCCTTTGTGAAAAGGTGGTTGATCAAGTTACCCTCAAATCCAACACCAACCCTAAGCCCTACCCCTCCCCCACCCCTACCCTAAACCCGGCGATTCTTTGGACTTCCCAAAGAAGGCCCTGAACCCCAAACCCTAATCCCCGAACCCTACCCCAGCTCTAGAAGGAAGGACTATAATAACACAGCCTACACAGTAGGCAACAATTCCGCGGCCCTTCGCACGCTACCGTTGGCCTTGCAAAAAACCTTATCATGAAACCTTGTAATCACCTCGCAGCTCTGATAAATTCCGATACGGACCCCTAAACCCTAAATCGACACCAACTCGGCTCGGCCCCCAGCGAGGTGCTGGGCTGGCGCCCGTGTGCACCCCCTCCTTCGTGAGCACGTGCTGGACCTTCGGAGCGGGATCTTCGCACATGCTGCTTGAAGGTTCATGGGTAGTTCTAAGTAGGGTTATACATGAGTATAGGGATAACCCATGTTAGGGGACTTATAATCCCACTTGTAACTACCCCTGAACCTCCAAGTGTAGGGTTAAGGGCTCAAGTTTTTTAGGCCTACGGCTTCGAGGTTGGGGTGCAGGGGTCTGCTCCAGGGCTTTTTCGAAGGGTTGTTTGATTTTCTGTATTGATTGATTGAAAGGGTTTTGGAACAAGTTCACCCCCGGCACCTTAAGCCGGGGGACCGGGCTTGGTTTTTAAATTTTTTGGGATGATTTAGGTGTCAACGTGAGTTGCACCTTTGCAGCACATGCTGTCGTGCATGTTAAGCCCTGACAGCCTCGAACCCAGGAGAATGCCAAAGGTCATCCACACATGGGACATACTCTGCCTTGACAACTGCTCCAGTCGAAGTTCCTCGTGTCCTAGAGATCTACTGAATTACAAAGAAGAGGACGTCGGGGTAATTGACGGCTCTACCATAATTGCAGACCCAACTGCAGTGGCTATAAGCCTTATACTCATTGAAGCTTGTGCCCAGCTCTGCCTCGCCGCGCTCATGACCTGCGAAGTCTTCAATGGAGAAGACAATACGCTTCACACCAACGAAGGTGCTCACCTGGGAGTTTGAGGAATGAGCGATAGATCCCAAGAGGCGTGGAGGGCGTGGAGGCCGTTAACAAAATGAGGAGAAGAGGATGAAGGCCGAGGAAGTCAGTTAGCTTGGGACTTTGGAGTCCGAAGTCCGAGGGCGTAAACAACCAACAGGTCGTTCGCAGGCTCCACACCTCAGTTACTCTGGCCACTGGCAGGATGAAAAAATGAGCAGCCGACCAAATGCCAGTACACAGCCTGGCATTTCAGGCTGCTGGGATCCCGTGGCACGTTCATGTGCGGTTTAGGGTTACTGTGGAACGGCAAATCCTACATGAGGCACTGGCAGTGAATAAAGGCGTGCAGGTGATGAATAGCGCACAAGCGATTCACGACAGTACCAACAGTAGCAACCTCACCATCATGACCATCATCATCTTCCTCATCCTCCCCCTCCTCCTCCTCGTCATCCTCATCAGCCTCATCACCATCGCCAACACCATCATCATCATCGTCGTCATCGTCAGTATCATCACTACCACCTTCAAAATCAACATCGTCATCACCATCCTCAGCCTCATCGTAATCGTCATCTTCATCAGCAGCAGCAACAGCAGCAACAGCCGCTGGCACCGAATCATCATCATCGTCATCATCATCCCATCCACATTAAATCATTAACAACAACTCCGGGTCCTACTCCCTGCTTCCTGGTTCTGTCTCCTCCGACTCGAACTCCGACTGCCACTCCTGTTACTGCTGCTAGTCCTGCTCCTGCTCCGGCTGCTACCACGATTATGTCTACGACGACGGCTACTACTACTACTACTACTACTACTACTACTACTACTACTACTACTACTACTACTACTGCTACTACTACTACTACTACTACTACTACTACTACTACGAGTACTGCCAATACCACTGCTACTGCTACTGCTACTGCTACTGCTACTACCACCACGACGACGACGACTACTACTACTACGACTACTACAACAACAGCTACTACTACTACTACTACTACTACTACTACTGCTACTACTACTACTACTACTACTACTACCACTACCACTACCACTACCACTACCACTACCACTCCTACTCCTACTCCTACTGCTACTGCTACTGCTACTACTACTACTACTACTACTACTACTACTACTACTACTACTACTACTACTACACTGCTCTTGCGGGTTGGAGTGTTACTGTCCTACATACAAGGACTGTGCTGACAAGCAGCGACTTTTTGCAAGTCTCTCAAGCAACAGCAGGACATCCGCCTCTGTCCGGACACCTCGAATTTGGAATGGAGCTCGTATGCCGGGGAGTTGTCCAATCTTTGGAAAGGCCCTGGCTGTTGTGAAGTAGTACGTGTGGCGGGCAGAAAGCACATGCGCCGGCGAATTGTCAACCTTTGCGGACATCCTCAACGATGGACTTCGGTCTCCTCCTCTCTTCCCATCGTCCCGTTGGGTTGCTCCCACTTCCTTCTGCGTGTGAAGAGTCTCCTTTCCTGAGACGGTCGCAGTTATCTCACCTCTTCCTCAACCACCGCAGAAATGCAGTTCGAAGTCGCGACCTAATCCGCGGATGAAGTCCGCACAACAGCAAATTGCAGGATGTTGCTGTTGCATACTTGTCCTGGAAACTCTTTTTGGCCTCAGGCTGGCCCACATTTTAAACTGCGCACGGACACCGTGAGCACGATTTGCTCTCCCGACTGAGGTTCAAGCCGACTTGTGCCGGAAAGTCTGCATGGCAAAGTACCCTGCAGGCCATCCACCGACAAGCGCCGTGACGCAAAGCGCGTTCTCGCTGACACGCCACTTCTTCTCCCGAGCTTGGCGCTTGTCCTTAGATACTTGGAGGTTCAGGGGTGGGTAGTTACACGTGGGGTTTTAAGTCCCCCAATATGGGCTTTAAGTTATAGATATAGTTACCCTACTCATGGCCTACTTATAACTACCCATGAACCTCCAAGTAGGACCGACACAGTCTGCCATGTAGAGTTGACATGTAGATGTGAAACGAACACATATTTTCCTCAACGCTTCAGTAAACGTTCAAGAGACGGCAGCATTGCCAAGCACATAAACGACACACATGCAGACACCTTCGGGCATGTGTCTATCTGCACTGTCTGTCGATCTATCCGTCAGCGCCAATGTACAATCGAAAAGCATATAAACAACTGTCTACGCAACTAGCTGATAGGTAGCTTCAACGAAAAATATGTCGAGATGGAAATAGTGGCCGAGAGCCTTCAGGAATTAAGCAGGTAAAGCCGCGACGCATACCAAAAGAGCCCAGCTGTGCCGCCGTTGATGCCCGCAGCAGCAGCAAGCATGGAACGCAAGGGCGGGAGCGTTTGCATGGCCGAGCTGACAAACTGCGCAGCTTCAGCTTATAGTTGACCCCACCCACACGGTGCGTTAGTCTCGCAGCATGTGTAGCTCTAGCGTCTTGCATGGTGAGTCCGATCAAGAGTCTCAGAACCCTGCCACGAAAACTGCTTAAGCCGCGCAAGCTGAACGCAGGACCCTAGAAGGGGTGACACCCTCCTGTTTCGTGGACGGAGCATCAAGAAGGTAGAGAGTTCCGGAAGCTGTGAGAGCCGAAGGGTTACTGGGTACCGCCTGCAAGTCTTAAGCAACACTCCTCCGTAGCCCCAGCGGTTTGGGTCTGAGTCGTCTTGGCTCCCAGAAGCCTCAAAACAAATCCTCGCCTCGACCCTGAGCTGGCAGCTTTAAACAACCGGTATACCTTGTGACCTGAACTGAACCCTGAACCTGAACCCGCCAAAAACAGACGAACCTGCATCCCCCCAAAACCGCGGCCTTAAGATTGAAGGGCATGTCGAGCTCCTGGGAGGACCATCCTCGATGAGAGCCGCGGGACTTTGGGGGTCTTAGGGTCTTCAGGCTCTGACTCGGGTTTGGGATTTGAGGGCACCGGGGGTGTTTTATGGTTTATGTGCGGTAGGTTTCAGGTCAGCTTCAAGGAAGCTCGCAGTTTGAGAACTCTGATTTAAAGCTGGGAGATGCCGGCAAAATCTGATGGCGTGAATTTGGGCCTTTCCTGGCTCATGTATTGGACTCTGCTGCTGCGCGCAAGCAATAATTACGACAGCATGCTGTAGACCGTGGTGCTCGCCCCAGGATCATTAGCATCAGTCCGAGCATCCTGAGTAGCAATAATTACGACAGCATGTTGTAGACCGTGGTGCTCGCCCGAGCATCATTAGCATCAGTCCGAGCATCCTGAGTCTCTCCCCAGCCTTGTTTGAGCATCCGCAGCATCATATCACCGGCATCACCTTGTCAGTCTCAGCCGACCCCAACCGCAAGCATCATCAGCATCGGCCGGGCCTCGAGCATCATCAACATCAGCCGGTCAACGGGCCCGAGCATCATCATTATCAGCGCGCAAACAGCATCGGAGGCCCTTTGCCGAGCATCCTCAGTCTCAGCCGACCCCAGCCCCAAGCATCATCAGCATCAGCCGGTTATCGGGCCCGAGCATCAATACCATCGGCAGGGCCTCCAGTGAGCATCATCAGCATCAGCCGCCATCGGGCCCGAGCATCATCAGCATCAGCCGGGCCTCGTTTGGCGTTTGGCATCAGCCGGCCGTTGGCCCCGAGCATCGTTGGCATCAGCCGGCCCTTGTCAGCGCAGCCTCAGTCTCAGCCGACCCGAGCCCAAGCATCAGCAGCATCAGTCGGGCCTCCTTTGAGCATCATCAACATTCGCCGGCCATCGGGCCCGAGCATCACCGGCATCAGCCGGCCCTTGTCCGAGCATCCTCGGTCTCAGCCGGCCCGAGGCCCACGCATCATGGGCATCAGCCGGGCCTCGTTTGAGCATCATCCGCATCAGCCGGTCAACGGGCCCGAGCATCATCGGCATCAGCGCGCAAACAGCATCAGAGGCTCTTTGCCGAGCATCCTCAGTCTCAGCCGACCCCAGCCGCAAGCATCATCAGCAGCAGCCGGTTATCGGGACCGAGCATCAATACCATCGGCAGGGCCTCCAGTGAGCATCATCAGCATCAGCCGCCATCGGGCCCGAGCATCATCAGCATCAGCCGGGCCTCGTTTGAGCTGATCATCAGCATCAGCCGGCCGTTGGCCCCGAGCATCGTTGGCATCAGCCGGCCCTTGTCAGAGCAGCCTCAGTCTCAGCCGACCCGAGCCCAAGCATCAGCAGCATCAGTCGGGCCTCGTTTGAGCATCATCAACATTCGCCGGCCATCGGGCCCGAGCATCACCGGCATCAGCCGACCCTTGTCCGAGCATCCTCAGTCTCAGCCGACCCGAGGCCCAAGCATCATCAGCATCAGCCGGTCAACGGGCCCGAGCATCAGCGCGCAAACAGCATCAGAGGCTCTTAGCCGAGCATCCTCAGTCTCAGTCTCAGCCGGTTGTCAGGCCCGAGCATCAGCATCAGCACGGCCTCGAGTGAGCATCATCAGCATCAGCCGGGCCTCGCTTGCACATCATCAACATCAGCCGGCCACGGCCCCGAGCATCATTGGCATCAGCCGGACTTCGTCTGAGCATCATCAGCATCAGCCGGCCCTTGTCCTCAGCATCAGCCGGACCTCATTTGAGCATCATCAGCATCAGCCGCCATCGGGCTCGAGCATCATCAGCATCAGCCGGGCCTCGTTTGAGCTGATCATCAGCATCAGCCGGCCGTTGGCCCCGAGCATCGTTGGCATCAGCCGGCCCTTGTCCGAGCAGCCTCAGTCTCAGCCGACCCGAGCCCAAGCATCATCAGCATCAGCCGGTCAACGGGCCCGAGCATCATCAGCATCAGCGGGCAAACAGCATCAGAGTCTCAGCCGACCCCAGCCCCAAGCATCATCAGCATCAGCCGGGCCTCATTTGAGCATCATCAGCATGAGCCGGTAGCATGACTAAAAATCAGCCGCCCTTGTCGGAGCATCCTCTGTCTCAGCCGACCCGAGGCCCAAGCATCATCAGCCTCAGCCGGACTTCGCATGAGCATCATCAGCATCAGCCGGGCCTCGCTTGCACATCATCAACATCAGCCGGCCACGGCCCCGAGCATCATTGGCATCAGCCGGGCTTCGTCTGAGCATCATCAGCATCAGCCGGCCCTCGTCCTCAGCATCAGCCGGGCCTCGTTTCAGCATCATCAGCCGGTCAAGGGGCCCCGAGCATCATCGGCACCATCGCGCAAACAGCATCAGAGGCTCTTTGCCTAGCATCCTCAGCCGGTTGTCAGGCCCGGGCATTAGCATCAGCACGGCCTCGAGTGAGCATCAGCAGCATCGGCCGGTTTTCGGGCCGGAGCATCACCAGCATCAGTCGGCCAGCCTCTGTCTCAGCCGACCCGAGGCCCAAGCGTCCTGAGCATCAGCCGGGCCTCATAGGATTAGCATCAGCGTGCAAGCATCATCAGCATCAGCCGCCGGCCCTTTTCCGGGCATCCTCAGACTCAGCCAGGCCCAATCATCATCAGCATCAGCTGGGACTTGTCCCAACATCATCAGCCGGCAATCGGGCCTGAGCATTGCCTACCAGCTTCCGTCAGGCCCAAGCATCAGTAGTGAGCAGTGCCGGCGGCAATACCTGGAGCAAGCCGTTAACCTGAAACTCTAACCTTCACCCTAAACTACTAATTAAACCTTCTCTCACACCTGAAATCCTCAACCCCACATCTCAAACCCTATGTAACCTCCTAAAGCCCGCAACCCAACCTCTGCTCTTTCGATGTGCGCAAGGGAGACGAGAGCCGGGTTCCCGAGCGGCTTTCGGAGCGGGCTTGGAGGTCGTAGGCATCCACGCCCGGGTGCTCGGACAGGAGCTGACAGATCGGTTGAGGGTTTAAGCTTGAGGGTTTCGAGGCTTAGGGCTTTTAGGTTTTAGGGTTTCAGGGTTTTAGGCTTGAGGGTTTCAGGGTTTTAGGTTTCAGGGATTAGGGCTTCAGGGCGGCGTTAGGGGTTAAGAGTTTTTAGGGCTTTGGTTGTCTTAGGGTTCAGGGGTGATCTGCGATTTCTGGATGGCAAGCGACGAGGGCTTTATCTGTTGTTTTGCGACTGCTGTCTGGTTCAGATCTAGGTTTTAGATTTCTAGTTGATATTACTACCCATAGGCCCCAAAGTAGTTCCTGTTTGGGATTACCTTATAGGATTCTAACTATGAACCACAAAAAGGGGCTACTATGGGGCCTTAGGGTAAACTTGCCCCAGGGCGCGCATCGGAGCTGGGACCTTCGGGCTTCAAGCAGCCTTCTCTAACAGCTCAACTTGGGTTTCCGGACTTACTCAGACGTTCAATCCGAGTCTTCCGGTACATGGCAAAGCCCCACGCTTTGTCGGAGGCTTCAGGGTTTTGTTGAACTTGTACCGAGACGCAGATGCAAGCTGGACTTTGGGGACGCCAATTCTTGGGATGTTCGGTGTCTTCGGATCACATTCCGAAAACTAGGGGTACCTGATTTGGGGTCCTTATGATAAGGATCCTACTATTTAGGGTACCATCCCTCTGTTTTCGGAAACTCCCACATGAGAAGTGGCGCTGCGCACCCTCACTGGCTTGCCCAGGACGAGGTCTTCTCGCCAGCAGCGGGGGCAGTCCTCCCAAAGGCGCTGGGAAGCACAGTGGTGAAAATCCCGTCTCACAAGATGTGGGTAGTTCTCTAAATTAGGATCCCTTTTTGGGTCCTTATTATAGTACGGCAGCTAATATTTTGGGTACCCAAAAAGGGACCCTAATTATGACAACCACCCATGTGAGTCTTGGTACTGGACAAACCAAGCCTCGCAGTTCACCAAAGTGTCCCTCCAAGCGCAAAAAATGCGGAAGCTCAGAAAGCCGAGACTGCCCGAGCCCTGGCGCCTGGTACTCGGGCCACCGGCGATCCACTGGCGAGCCGCGGTGGGAAGCCTGCAGCTTGAGCCAAACATGTCCGAGTTTGGGTTTTTTGATTTTAGACGCTCCTTTTCCGTTCGCCGAAGGTTAGGGTTTAGGGTTTAGGGTTTCCTGGTCCATGCAAGACTGTCAATACATTAGTTCATGCAAACTTGTCTGGGGGACAATAAATCCCCGGCGAATGGAGCAGAGATGAGCAGAACATACTGAAGCAAGACGGTCGCAAATAGATGAGACATGCATGACAACTCTTGACAAGTGAGCACACACGCAAACAATGATGCAACAGTAGGCGAGACCTAACGTGAAGCCACGGGCAAACAGCCATACGCCAAAACCAAGACCGGAGAAAACGCCGAAAGCGGCGGGCAAAAGTAGCGCAAAAAGAGAATGGGAACTAGCAGTCAAGCAGTGACGACAAAAACCGCACTTGCAACTGTGACCGATGAGCATGATTCAGTACACGCCCACCAACAACAGTAGCGTGGCAATTCCATCGAAATTTGTATTCCAAACAGCTCGGAGCTTTCGATACGGCTGAAAAAGCTAAGCTAACCTTCGCACCACAAAGTTTCCGGATTCCCTGCTGATAACGGAAACTCAGTCCCAAGCTACATGCAAGCTGACGGCGTTGTGCACCCGCCACCTTGGTCGAGCTGCTGTCACCAGAAGCCCATGCCCGGGTAACGCATCAGTAGACATTTCCGAAATTTTATGTGTGCACCCTCCCCAGATACTGTGTGTCATGGGCGTGTGCTTATTCGCTGGACATGTATTCAACTGCAGCTTTGTAACGCACGTGTCTGCGGCACATGATCCACTTCACCGTTGAAATTGTGAGTGCGTATATCCACCGTGCATCCATCTATCCATCCCTTTGCTAACAAAGACTGACTGACCACGCACACGTACCTTGATAGAAGGTACATGTTTGTCCATATGTGTACATACTGATACGCACGCGCGCGCGTGTGCGTGTGTGTGTGTGTGTGCGCGTGGCACCATATGACATACTGCACTGTAGCTGGCCGCTTGCTAGATATATGTACCCACCGAAATCTACCCAACATCATATTATACATAGAAATTACACGATCGTCGCACATTGCTCATGCGATAACAAAGGGCAATGCAAAGTAGGTCAGACATCAGACAGTCTGCAAAACCTGCGTAAGCTGTACATTGCATAAATAATCTCAAACAGCTAGATTCTTGCCACGAAGGAGTATGTGCGACAAACTACGCAGCCGGAGTCATGGAAATGACATGACGGACCCATAGGCATCTGTGGAGGTGGATGGAACACTCTCCCTTCTTCCACGGTTCCACCGTCTTCTTCAATTGGGGGGACCAACAACTCTACAGCCCGCACGGAAGCTGAAATCCAGCGCGTGTTCATGAGCCAAGCGACAACCAAAGCGGCAATGATTGCCAGTCCTGCTGGGACAGCTGAGCCAGAACTACCGAAGACCGTCCCGAATGTGCTCTTTTACCGGGGCCTCAACAATGCGGGATGCTATTGCTACATAGCCCTTGTCTTGTTGATGTTGCTGCTGCTGCTGAAGATGCAGGGCGCTGGGAAATGAGGACAGCAATGCAGCTGATGGTGGTGGCTGCCCTGTCAGCTCCTTCATACTTCATAACCATCCCAACTGCCATGGTCGCAAGCCATGACGAAACTCCTTAGCGATCTGGCCTTGTAGTCGCAGCGGCCATAGTTACACTGGTCGTAATCCCAGATGAAGCGCTCGCGACCTCGGGACACATCGACCGGTGGTGGCAGCTTCGATCTTGACACCCTGCATCCGGCATGGGGGGGAATTCGCAGGAACAAGACCCCTCGGTAGGCACAGAGTCAGTGGTGACCTCCTTAAACCCCAAAATACCCCGAAGTAGCGCTCTAGGAGTGAACTCGCAAATTCTCAACCCTAAGAATCCCCATGAGGACCCTATGAGCCCAGCCTACTTGCACGCTTCGAGCTGTCTGGTCTCACATAATGAGGTTGGGCTTCCGGGCACTGCTTGCAATTCAGGAAGTTGTCGACCTCGGCAACTTCGGTGGGGGCTTTGGGTCACACAGGGCTTCTAGGGCCTTCCGGGCTTGTTGATGTTTCGGGGGGTTCGAGGGATAATTTTTCGGAAGAGCCGTAAACACACTGCCGCACGTGGCCAAACATCTTGTACGAGAACACTTTCGCTAACAACAACTTGAATCAATCATTGAGCGATGTGTAGCCGCCTACATAGGAGTTATAGGGTTTAGGGTCAAGCAACGCCGAACTCATCACCTTTGTCTTGGCCTCCCGGCAAAAGTTCTCACGAAGGCCTGGCAGGTTGAAAAAGGTGCTGCCCGCAGAGCGATTGATGAGGGAGGTCACAGCACTCTTGCACTTGCGGGAAAGATGCTTACTCGAAAAAGGCTTTGAGGTGCCGTCTGCAAACTCGGCCGCATCGGTTTACCGGATAGGGTTTGGAGATGCTCGTGGGGAGGATCTGCACAGCCACGACATGCCACCACGAAAGCAAACAGACGAACAGGCCCCGATGTTGTGTTTAACTACACCCGGGGCGACAACAACGAGATGCCGTAGCTGAAATAGCAAATCAAGCCTCTCCTCCCCAACACCGACACCATCACCCGCTCGAACACAGCGAGGCTACAGCACATCTATGTCGGTGGTCCGCAGGCTGCAGCAGGCTCGGGAGAAAGGAGAGAAAGCCGCGGTTCAGCGTCGCGCCTGGGCCTCGCGGACACCGATCTCCGGATCCTGGTACCTCAGGGCCTCGGAGGGTTCAGGGCTGGCCGCTGAAGGGCAACCGCTTCGGGTTGAAGGTAGGATCCGAGCTTGGGGCCGGTTTAGGGCTCTCAGAGAATCAATCACCGCACGAGGACCTGCGGACCCACGTCGGCTTAGCGCCAAACCATGCCACCCTCGCTGCCGTGGGACAGGATGCTACCGTCCTCAGCCCGACCACTGCTCCAACGGCTAAAGCCAGCAGGTTCCAGAATCAGAAGTCGCAACCCTAGACGGTGCTTCAGAACATCGTGTAATTCTCCTTCTGTTCCGTTTTTGCAACCCCATACTTCCCGGGAGGTGCTGAAGCCGGAGGATCCTGTAGGTATAGGCGGCATAGGGCTTGGGTTGCAGGGGTCATAGTAGAACCTCCAACTTCAGTCTGCATCGGTAGGTTGCCCCATCTGCAGCGGGTGAGTGTCAAGCCTCATACGGATGACTCCGGACATGAGTCACGAATCCCTAGCCTTGCAGGCAGAATTCATGAGACCTGTTATCCCCTGTCACATGTAGGAACTGAGGTGTTATTGGTTGGGCATCTTGTCAAAAATCAGCTTGAAGAGGAACAGCGCAGCGATGGCATGGCTGCTTACTTTGGTGGGCCACTGCTGGGGAAACATGAAGCGAAAAGTGCCGGCTCACACCATTGAAGTCAATGCACACGCGACAGCGACGCTCAGAACACAGTCATCCTTCAACCTTTCATAGAGCAGAGGTATGCATGGTAGAGAATTCATTACGCCGGACACTATCGTAGACGAAGTCCCATAAACTAATAGGAAATAGAGTGAGGGAGGGAGGGACAGAGAGAGAGTGAGAGAGAGAGAGAGAGGGAGGCAGCCAGAAAGATCATCAGAGCGAGGGAGAGGATTTGGGACTCTCAGCAACCGACGCCCAGAAGCGTGCGCCCGGAGAAGCCACGGGCAGCCACTGCTGCCAAGGTCACGTGGAGCAGGTTCCACCTAGCTCGTCATGTCAGTGCCCGTCACTTGCACATCTTGATATTGAATTTGTTTCTTTTTTGCGGAGTTCGGCGTCCGAGCAGCCTCTGCGTCAACCCCATGAGTACTTGGTACGTCTTTCGTTCGGTCCAACAATGTCACATGCAACCACAGCCGCCAGGCGGTGCTATGGTTACGGCGACGGCCACAGCTATTGCTCGTCGAAATGGAGACGGGGCCGCTGGTTCCTTCAACTGCTGCTGTTGCTGCTGCTGCTGGGGCGTACTGTTAGTAGTAAACAGATTATTCTTGGAATCGTATTAGGGCACACGAAATACAGCCACTAGTCCTGAAACCCAGGAGTTTATGATTTTGGCAACAGGTATGATTCTGATTCTGATTACTACAGTACCAGCTGCTCAGCTCAAACCCGAAGCCATCGGGGCCCCGGCAGGTTGCAGGTGCTGCTCTGCGGGCAGGTCAGTGACTGAAGCGTGCCTTTTCGGCCGCCTCAAACTGCGAGTATTAAACGCAGAATCACATAGATGTGATACTTCTTTGGGCTTCAAACCGGACCGTCGACCCATGGGCACTAACTAGCTGTGCACAGGTGATGCGTAGCACGTACACGACTCACAACAATACCGTCAATAACACCACCACCACCGCCATCATCGTCGTCATCATAACATTATCACCGCCTTGGCCAGATGGCTATATCTGCGGCCATCACCGCCACGTTGCCAATTCATCACCGTCATCGTCGTCCTCCTGTTCCTCCTCCCCGTCTCGTCGTCGTTTGTCGTCATCACGGCTACCGCACGATCGCCAGAAGCACCACCAGCAGCATCAGCCGCATCATAATCATGACCAGGATCATCACATCTATCATGACGAGGACCACGACTATGGTCAGCGTATGTCAGCGTCATTTACAGCAACATCGAATCATCTACAACGTTCTGGCGAAACGCCCAATGACGATCAACATGGTGTCGGCTTGTCACCTCTGTGGTCGCTGCTGCTTCGAGACGTTCGCTTCACGAGGCCGTTGATGTGCTCCTGACCAGGCCAACGATTTCTCAGCGACTCTCAAGAAGAGGTACTACAGGGGCCTTCCCAATTAGAATCGGGTTAGCGGCCGTATCATGAGGAACTCCGTCTTGGTAATCATTGAGGCCCCTATATTATAGGTGAACCACAAGTCTAGCTTGAAAGGAAAGGGAGGGCATGCCTTGCTGGACTTACCCCTCCAGCACAGAGTGAACTCTTGCAACGACTGCCGCAACCTTCATGCACCACCACCCAGGGCTAGATGTGGCCGCCAAAACCATTGTCCCACACTTTCTCTGGACACTTTTCATCTACTGGCAAACTAACCACCTAGTTTGGGAAAAGCGGCCTCATCCATGTCCAAGTCAGTTGATTGATTTTGTCCGTGTGACTCAACTAGACAATGCAGTGCCTCAATGCATGCAGCATGATCGCAGAGGCTTATTCTGCCCATGAACATTATGGATCAATTGAGAGTGCCACCCTTGCCGAAACACATGCTACGCCTCGGACTACACGTTTACGAGGCAGCTTGGCGCTGCTGCTTGCAGTCAACCTGCATGCTTGTCGGACACTGGCACGCGATGCTCTCCAACGTACAAACCCTGAAAATCACACCTATACTTTGCAGGAAGATGGCCCTAAACCCATCTATATAAGCAGCCACACCATCTTGGATCCCAAATTTCAAGCCGAGGCCCAAGCCTACAACCCGGTACCCTGCCGAGCCTGCTTTGCAACATCATCCCCGGCTTCGTATTCGGGGTCTCCAAGGCCCACCTGCAGAGTCTCTGGGAGCCGGGTCTGTCGTAGATCCCACTTTCGACTGACTTCCGGGGCTTCGGCGTCGATGGACCAGTTGGCGATGACTTGGCGCGCTTCCGACCTGAAGGGGAGCTTTAGCTCTCAGGCTGAGGAACCCCATTCACCCTAAAACCTAAAGGACCCTGAATCCTGAAGCCTGTTAGGCCCCAAACTTAAGGGCTCAGGGCTCAGGACAGGTTCGTTGTTGCCCAGAGCTTGACTCCCTTGCGAATCTGAAGATGTAGCGACAACCCTTCCTGACGAAACCCTCCAGCAGCTCCATGCGGACATCACAATCAAAGCCCGTGGTGTGAAGCGAGATCAAGTGAGGCGGTGGGGGTAGACGAATTTGCAACCAACCTGACAAGAATGCCGAAGGAGAAAAGGGTCCTGAGGCACGCGCGGCAAAATGTCGCTGCCCCGGCGTTCCAACGAGTCAGCCTTACTTGTAACAACATAACATAGAGTTCGTGCTGTATTACAGCAAGAACATGGTACCCACGCGCCACTCCTACAACCTCGGATTTAATCAGTCCTTTCGAGGCAGACGTCGAACGAAAGCTAGACTGCTCAAAATGGAGGTTTAGCTTACACGACTAATCCCAGCAAGGTTCCCGGCAACTATGAGAGTTCATTATTCGATCATTGGCGGACTTCGCCTGCAGCCCGATGTTCTCAAGCAGGTGGTCTGAAACCCAAACATGAGCTCAAGGCCAGCTTGGCGAGTTCCTTGCCCTTCACCGGAAACGCCTCAGTCGCACGGGCAGGGGCAAGTCAAGCATGACGAAGCAGGGCAAAGGAAAGAAATCGCGCATATTTTGTCTCCAGCGACTCTTCTGCCAATTTCGTGATCAAACGGCCGCTCCGCTTTCAGTTTAATCCGTGTGGGGCCTTGGCCCTGGCTCGTCACCCTTGGAGCCTCGTGGGAGCCGTGGTGAGCTCAAGACCGCCGGCTCGAGTGCAGACCATCGTAGGCGGGAGTTCGCGCGAGAGGGCTTCCGGTGCTGCGACTGCTTGGGCTTCCGAGAATCCAAAGTTCAAAGCATCAGCGGGGCGCTTTGAGGGGATAGATCCTCTTCTCCCCGGTCTTGATGTCGTTGACTTTCAGCTGAAGGATCTCTACACCGTCTTTCGTGGTTGCCACAAACTCCGGCAAATTCTCACCGGACTCATGCTCGCCGAACTTTGTGACAAGGTCACTTCCTTCCAGCTTCTTCACGACCTTGTTTGTAGGCATGTGCAGGACCTGGGTCGTGTAGTGGAATCCATTCGGATCCTGACGCCGGGTATACACGATCTTCCAGCTTCCACGCACAGTTTCCTGCGTCTGGGTGTCCGACATGCGCTTTGCAGTGTAAGATGGGGATTGATGGGAAAAATGTCGGATGTCTGAGAAGCTTAAAATCCGTTTCTCCAAACATGCTTCGCTAAACTCAGAGGGCATCAACAGGAGATCTCGAGGGGACCCAGTGGCTCCGAACCAATGCTGCTGCCATGGTCCAAGACTAACTAACCAATATCAGGCTCCAAGTCTCGCGCATCCGATCTTGAAGACAGATGCCTAAACCTTAAAAACTCCAAGCCCCAAACCCTGAACCCGGGATCCTTGCCATGAAGAGCCCGAAGTCTCAGACCTCCCCCTTGAGCATACTGAACATTCCGAGCTCTGCCACCAAAGCCCCAACAACGAACCAACGCTTGATGATGTTGCTGTACCAGAAAAAGACAGAGGTTTCATAATATACAAAAACCGTAATCAAGGGATATGCTGGAGTCTCTAAATACCCTCATCCGTTTTTGGAGACGAATTGTGGGCGCCCTGGCAATCACCATCGGCTCCCCTCCGAGTCCAATGCCATGGAAAGGTAGCGCGTCACTTCGAGCGTCGGCTGCAGCTTGGTGGGCTGGTAACCTTTTCTACTTGGTAGGTACTGGAGGGTTTAGGGTCTCGAGGATCATATGCTTGTTGACTTGTACGTAGTGTTTAGGGTTTATAGGGTTTCTAGGATCATCTATATATATATATATATATATATATGTGTACTTGGGGAATCTAGGTAGCTTGGGGTCAGGCCGTGAGTAGCTCTGGGATTGCTTTCTTCTTGAATCTTTGTGGTATTTTATGGGGTTTGGTTGTGTGGGCGCTTTGCTTTGCCTGTCCGCTGGACAGCATTGCGGGCAACTGAAATGGTGTGGGAGGTACGGTACGGCTTGAGGTTTCGGGATTATTCCCTGCGGCCGCTCCATGTCTCTACTGCGGACGAGCATGAGAAGAGTTTGCAAAACTGACCGAAAATGGCAACTCGATGCCACGGTCAGCAAGCTTTGTCGGAGTTGAGAAGGCCTACAAGGCGCCACCTGAAGTATGACACTGGTTTTCATCAGTTGCAGATGAGCAATCGCAGGCTTGATGAGTCCACTGGGGCCGATGCCCTGGTAAACGAAAGCTACGAAGCCCATCAAGGCGTCGTACCACCGCTCACCTCGTGCACGGTCATGCATACTCGTCGTCTACATTTGATGCTGAAATACCCCAATTAAGAATGTACTTACAGATATGATGCTGCACCTAACCACCCTGGCTCGCGTTCCCTGTATCAAAATTTCGTTATGCTCATGCATTCGGCTGGAGGTCGTCGGTAATGGTGGGCTTTGGGCTCAGCTTTGAAAGGGTATGGAGCTGACATCCTAGGACAACGCCTGGCCGGCAAAAGGAAATCCTTCGGAGGCTACAGCCGTGCGATCTGGGTGATACTTCAGACTCTTGTACTGCGTACAGCCTGCACAAGCAGGCGAGAGATGTGCTATCAGGATCGCTGGGGATGGAGACTGGCAGAAGCAGCCCTTGGAAGCGTTGTTACACAGGCTCCTGCGCACTCAGAAGCTCTCTGTCCCACACCCACGTGGCGGGCCTGGAAAGTAGCGCGAAACGCCGGGTCGCCCTTCCTGCGGAGGATAACACTCCTACTAACCGCCTCGTGTCTGAAGCCCTAGAGAATGGCGTCTTTCGAGGCACTCAACCTGAATCAAGTGTCAGAGTTTGAGAGTACAGACTGGCTACGACGAAATCCCAATAGGCCATAACAGGTGCGACCCTCGATTTCGAAGCATGAAGTAATAACAGTACCATAAACCCAAGACACCCTCGAAGCACGAAGCCGTGTGAGGCTTCGCATTTCAGGTAGACCTGAGCCCCAAAGTCCTCAAACCCTCCAGCCCTTGCCTCGTCGTCCCTAAGCCACCCAGGGCGCCCCGGGGGTGCAATTGCTGACCTCTGGAGCTGCGGAATCATAAAGGACTCGTGAACAATACGAAAGCCTTGAAGCCCCATCTGCACCTGATGTGCATAACCGTGTGTATGTACATCATGTGTATGTAGATGTGTATACAGGTATGTATATGTATGTATGTAAGTATGTAGTATACATAATTGCTGTGTGTGCCTGAGAGTGTGCGCTCGTCTGTCTGTCCGTCGGTATTTATTACCTGTGAGGGATAAGTGGAATCCGACCTTATGAGCCCCGTGCACCGGCATTTTCCGGTGGAAGTTGGCTCCAATGTTCAGGTCCGCTGGCAGCAGCGCCTCCGACGACGAGGGTGAGTTTAGGATTTTGCGCCCTGCGGCTCTCGGCATGAGAAGTTTGCTTCATGTCCCTAAAGATTGCGACGGGACTATAGCACGGAAATGGACTGCCCCACCTTCTCGCCCGTCGTTGCATGGACCCAGTCGGCAAGCTGTGTCGCTGAGAGGTAAGGGTCCTCTTGCAAAGGGACCAATATCTACGGGCTGCTACTGCTGCTGCTCACACTACGTCTATTCTTACCTCTGCTTCTTCGTGCATCGACGTCCACTTGTGTGTCCACCACTATAGGTCTACTGAGCCTACTTCGTCTGCTACGTCTACTCTCTGGTAATAGTAGAAACAACAATAATGCGAACAGTAATAAGCGTAGTAACACCTAGAACACTAAAATGATACAATATTATAGCAACCACATGCAATAAGAGCGAGAAGAGCAAGACTACGCACGAACAACATTGACACCACGACGACTACCGCAGCTACCAGCTACCAGGTCACCGTTGACCGGCTCATGGACAGCGGAGCTGTGACTTCGCTTCGTCGATGCAGGGACTTCAAAGTCTCGACCACAGGGGTCCTCCAGTCCAGACTTTGCGTCCTCCTGGATGGAATCAGGGTGTCATGGGGTTATACTTGGGGCATAGGGTTGCATTTAGGGTTTAGGGTTGTGGGCTCAGTTCGCATAAAATCTCGTCTCAGGTTCCGACCTCCCAAGAACCCTGGTGCCTCCACGAACTTGTGGCGGCAATGGGCCATCCTGTCAACTTATTCAAGGATGCAGTCAAAGGGACCATGCATTCCTTCGTGGTCCCTGTAACTCTCGAGGTTCACATTTAAAAGTTCAACTCATCGTCCCTTATTTGATATTTGCTGGAAATTACTGGGCAGGGAACTACGGTGAAATATTACCCAAAATCGCATCGGCAGGCGAGCAAACTAGCCCAGGCAGCTTCAGCAACGCCAGCCGAGTCCTCGGATGCTCTGGCAGCTGCTCTCTTTGAAGCGTCCACGGTTCAGGGCTCAGTATTTGGGTTTCGTGGTCTTCATCAGCCTAGCTGCAACTTCAACAGGCCCGTCTCTTTTTGCATTCGTCCCTTGATCGAGTGCGCCTTCTGTCAAAGCCCATTGTCTTGCGAATCTGAACGAACCACAGCTTCACTGCAAAATCTGGGAGTCAAAGCCTCGAGGTTTCGGGAAACTCATATAATCAAGAAAACCCTTTTACAATGCGACTGGTGCAGCTGTCCTAGAAGCTCAAATCATACGCCAAGCTGCGGATGGTTGGGCGGCAGTCGCTTTGCCATGACCTGCGCCTCAAGTATGCAGAGTGGTAGTCGTAGGAACAACCTGTATGTGCGAATGCATTATATGCATGTATGTAACTGTATGCATGTATGTACGGACTGATGGATGCAGACACGCAGGCAGGTAGGCACTTTAGGAGCAGGCGTATGCGTGCCTGTCTGCGCTATGAATGCCCACCACATATTTATGTGTATACACTAATAATACTATACAAAACGATTGGGCGAGAGAGAGAGAGAGAAGAGACGTACACATGCATATCCACATATGTACTTCATGAGCCTGCGGGCATGTGTCGATAAACAGATCTGCAGGTAGATGAATTTGAACGAGCAAAGACGTTCAACACACATACTCATGCAGCCCAGCGCAACTCGAGAATCTAAGCCAAATACAAGGCCGATGCCACCGGCATCTTCGGAGCCACACTATGCTGCTTTCCGCCCGAAACCTGTCCTTGAATCCTTCCCAAACAGGCAAGGCTCTCCTAGGATTGTCGGGGATCCGGACTGGATGACTATGCCTCAGCTGGACGTCTGCATCCACCTGCCAGGATTATGTGGTGCTACACGTCTATAGGCCATGCCAGCCGTTACTAACACCAGGCTTCGCTCCGTGCCACCTGTTTGCAACGGACATGCTCACAGAGAGAAAGGCAGCAGGCGCCAGAGAGAGAGAGAGAGAGAGAGATAGGGGGAGAGAGCGAGGGAGGGAGAGAACAAAACTACGGTGCCGTGCTAATAGCAATAGTAGCTCTGGTAGGTGAAAGATAGTTTTGGACAGGAAATCAGCGTGCAGCTTTTTAGTTGTAACAATAACAACACGAATGATAACACAATGTTGCTATGGTGCTGATGTCAAGCACTTCCGTAGTATCGATGAAATCGTCAACATATTCTCAAAATTCAAAAGCGAAACAAAGACCAGTCTAGCTTTCATCGCTGCGCATAATCCTATCTGCTACCTACTAGCAGAGATATCTGAGATCACTGCGCACGGACTTACGGCTTCCGGTTTCCGTGGCTTCGTGCTTAAGCCCAAAAGCCAAGTCCTGCGTGAAAGCTCAGAAGTGGTGCTCGGCAACAGCTGTATTCGGACAACAACGGTCTAAAACAAGCTTCTTCGGATCGCTTCGGTTTTGAAAGGATTCGGCGCTGGTATATGAACAGTGCTACGGCCAGCTTTTTGTCAGCTCTGAGCAGCATCTAGTCCACAGAAGCCATTGCTCATAAGTCTGCACTTGGACCTGAGGTCAAGCACCCCATACTCGAAGCGACAACCGAGCGGAAACCCCACAGGCCCGCCGCCAACCACAAAAGTCGACCTCTGCGATCCGGAAACCCAAACCCGAAAACCTGAAATCCCGAAAAAAACGACGACCGAAACCCTAAACCCCTAAACCCTACATGGCCCTAAGCCTGCCATCCTCAAACGCGCCCGCACGACCGTTTCATGAGGTGGGCAGGCCAAGAAGGTTGGAAAATCCTGGTGCGACTGCCCGGCTTCGGAGTTCGGGCTGCTCTAGGCTCAGCCGCTCAAGCCTACGGATTACTATACACCCCTTAGAACCATGATAAACATAATATGTTCAATTTTCTCTTGGGTCTTATATGAGCAAGCATACAAAATACTCCTCAGAAAGAGTATAGATTACGGTTGTGTGCTTCTGGCTTGCTTTGACGCAGAAGGCCGGTTCCAGATCCGCTTCCTCCCTGCATCTAGGGGTTACGATTTTGGGGTCTGGCAGCCCTATGGTTTGGGAGGGTTACAGATTTCGGCTGAAGTTTTCGCATAGCAGATTCTGCAACGCCCTCCCTGTCATTGCGCATGAATGCACTGCTGCTGCTGTCGCCCAAACCCAACGAGGCAATGAACCCGGAAGTCCTTCCCTAGAACCCACCCACCCTACTAAAAAACCACGTGCCTAGAAACCTGTGTCCTTGACTCGCCCAATGTTTTCGAGCAGGAAGCAAACCTTCCCGGAGAAGCAGGGTCGAGGCAAGCGAAAACCACTTCATGCGTACGGCAAGGGCGCTTTGATCTGCTGAACTTGCGAATGTCGGCATGCACAAACTCGGGGGATTCATGTCCAAGATAACTGCAAGGAGGTTGAACCCGAGTCAAGGTCATAACAAAGGATTACCTCTGCCGTCCCTAAGCGCTGTCAAAACGGTTTCGGGGCTTCAGCGTCTGCCGTTCTTGCGTGCCTCCATGTTGTAGCTCAAATGGCAATTGATGGAAGTGAACTGGATGCGCGGATTGTCTGCGTACCTCTCGCAGTCCGTGAACGTATGTCACTGCATACGCACAGCAGCCACAGTGACCCAATCAAGCATCAAGTCCCGTAAGCTCCGGGTTCAGGGAATCCTTTGACAGTATCGTGCGAAAGATGTTATGCAGCACTTGCAGCACTTGTCTTGTTTGGATACTGCGGTATGGTTTCGCATGCTGAACTTCCGCACCGAACAATGCAGCTGCTGATCTCCGTCCGTTAGAGCCAAGCCATAAAGCCACAAGATGCCACAAGACTCCCAAGACATTGTGCCCCGGAGTCACGCTTCCGCGACGTGCATGTAGATAGGGACCTTAGACGTTTCGGGTTTATGGCTTAGTGCCTGACTGTATGAACGAACAACTAGTAACGAGCAGCGATCGGTATCAACTAGGCAAAAGCATGTTCTGAAAGCTTCTGCAGGAATTACACCCTTTTGCTTCTTGCTAAGTGCCAGCTCATCCCCGATAGTAGACCTTTAACAACAATCCATGCAAGGCTTGAGCGGTAAAGCATATGATTTCTGGTGGCTTTGGCTATTGAGGGTTGGGATCAAGGGCTGAGCTACCGGCAGCATACCAGCAATGTGGACCTCAGTTGAGACAGGTCCACCAGGCAAGTCTCTTGAACAACGATGATGAATATCGTAAAGATCAGGCGGTTGCGGACACGACCAGCATTTTTGATTAACGACCGGGTACTCTTGAGCCAGTCTTCTCGTCTAGAGGCGTGAGGCTCATTTGCCTCTGTCAAAAGGCTGCCTCATGAGACTCACTCGTAGTCACCATGGAGGACAAAAAAATGCAGTTTCGTTGCTAACGAAGTACCTGAGCATCACCTTTCGTAAGGGTGTTCACTGCTACCGCTTCCATTGGATTTCCCGTTGTCGCTGCTGGCTGACGCTGCTCCTGTCTGCTGCAACATCTATTGCGTGGAGTACCGCGACGAGGTTTGAGCACGCCTAGTATGTACTGCTGCGACAATACTGTGACTTATGTTGTCGCTAGACCACAGCCCTCCACCAAGTCCGAATCTTCGGAAGTACACTAAAACGACCAAACAAACTAGAACCGCCAATCATCATCAACGACAACGCCATCACCATGCCTATCACCAGCAAACGCAGCATAGTGCAGACCCTCACCTTGCAGCAACATCACAACCATCCTCAATGTCATCAGAGATATCATCATCGTGGTCCTCCTCTTCCTCGTGCTCTGCTCCATGATCCCAACCGCACGCAGAAGCATCATCAGAATAGTTCAACTGTTCGCAGGATCCATCAGGATTCAGGAACCCTAAATCGATCCGGAACGTAGGCCCGCACAGGTGTAGTCGTAGATCTCTACGATGGTCCACTTGGTATCACCTCCAATGGGATAGTCGAAGGAGATTTGGAAAGCTTTTGGGGCCGACTGTGTCGGCTTGCTTTAAAGGACTTGTCCGGTGGCTTGCCGTTGGTATGGCCATCGCCAGTTCTCTGGCAGCCTTATGCCAGAAGCTCTGGCTCCGTAGTGGGTACGCTATGCAGCTTTCGGTTAACAACAAGGTACATAGTTAGTTACACGATGCTACTCATTGGTCAGCAAGGTCCCCGGAGCGTGAGGGCTGTTGCGAACAGAGCGCTCAGCTTGCAGCAAACTGTCACACTCTTGTTGCTTCAAGGGAATCGTCCCCGGCTCCCACATCTTGGTAGGGTTTCTCGGTGTCGCTACCAATGCGCCGAACTGTGCCTGTGCATGGCCCCGAGACTTCTGGGATTTTGACCCAAACTCGCACCAAGGTGGCTTTTTCGGTTCAAGGCTCACAGCCTAGATCTTGACATCAACACCGACCACGCCCCCCAATCCAGAACGCGACAACTCTGCACGAACTGACGCCGCTCGTGCAGAAATCCAGAACCCAACTTGCCAGATTCTGTCAGAAGAGACTGAAGCGACGTCGGACTCAAACCCAGAGCCCTACTCCTTTCAAGCTCCTACTACGAACACCGTCCTTTGGCATGTTGGGTTTGTTACCAAACCTGCCTTTCGCAGGCATGGACAGCCGCTGCAGAAACGTGTCGCCAACGTCGACGTCGACCTTTCGTCGGTGTTCGGTGACGGGTTTGGGGCTTCAGGGCTCCGGGGCAGAGCCTGGGTTGAGTGACCTCGGACGCGGGATAACAATGCTGATAGCCGTATACAGGTACGCGTACTTAAAGTACAGGTTGGTATACAGGCAAATAACGCAGTCATGCATCCACCTATACGTGTTGGGAATGGCGTTTCGACTGTCATTGGTTGCATACAGCTGAGGCACCTCAACCGTGAAATACTACTCACTTCGAGGCATCAAAGTCTAAGCGCGCCTCACTATCGCCGCAATGACCATGCCCGTCTTTTTCACAGTTCCCCGACGACCATTAATTATAGCAAATTCAATGAATCATCGTAAACTGCCACGTGTATGACCAACATCCAACCGAAACCGTCCACTCTCTCAACCTTGAGACCCCAAATCTACATTTCGCAGCTCCGGCCCACACACGCCCGAAGCTATGGGATGGAAGCAGAACTCGCCCGAGCGCATGGCGGCCATACCGGCTTTGTAGAGGGACCTGGCCAGTTCACAGGCTGCCGCTCTAGGTTTGAGGGAAGCGTTGAGGGTCGATGGGTTTGGACCTCCTCTTACCTCCTTATCGAAATGTGCAGATGCGACACAATGGCCTCAAGAGGTTTTGATCGGTCTGACTCGAAATTCATCGGGTATTGAATTTGAGATCTTCGTGGCAACCTCCCGACAATCCCAAACACTGTGAAGTTGAGATGGCAAACGTGGCTGATGCACAGCGTCTCCGGTGTCATGTTGCTCGCCACCGGAACCCGATACCTGATCAGCAAGGAGAACAAGCGACAACTTCAACCACGAACGCCTGCAAATACCTGGGCTGAGCAAGGACTTCAGAAAGCCACACGATAAACCCCTAAACCCTAAACCCCATACCAGCACCCCATCCCCCAACCCCCACACAACCCCCACTCCCTCGCGCCTTGGAGGCTCCGGACTCCAAGGCCTCAGTGACAAGTCCACGGCGATGACAAGGACACCAAAGCATGCGATGAGAGGATTAAGCGTTGAGAGGATCATCATCGCTATCGCCCACACCATCAAACATGAGTTTGCTGACTGCAAAGATCATCGCAAGAACCATCGCGATCGTCCCGACATCGTCAACAAGCCTCCGGTAACGACTTGCGAAGGTGGGGCAAAAGCGGAGAAGTGCGCTCACGGGGATCCGTGAACCCATCTGCAAGATGCCGCGCTCGTCACAGCTGATCAGGCACAGAGAGTTCCTGTTAACCCCTGAAAAACGGCTCAGGGCCGAGCCCGGGTTTGAGACTTTAAGTACCATGCCCGGTGGCTGCTGCTTCCCCATTCCGAAACAACCCTAAACCCTAAACCCTTTCCGAAACGATCACCTTCCGAAACAAGGCCGTGAGTCGGGAGCTCTCCGGTTTTTGAAGCGGCTCCGAGGACCCGGGCAGCTGGACGATCTCTGAGGGATCTTCCGACACAGCCAGGAAGGGCAGAACCTGCAAGCGATGAAGTTAGGGGGGTAGGTGTAGGGCGATTCTTCTCCTTCCGCTTCCGTAGATGATGACGATGATTCTGCTGCTGCGTGAAACTACAGTATCCGAGAACTTTTGACTGTGGACTCTATACGATGCCAAATCCGGCAGCAGGCCAAAACCTCAAAGAGTCCATATGCCCTCTGACCGACACCCATTCCAGCCGGCCTGCCACCACGACGATCGCATGGCTTCCTAGGCAGTCTGACCACTTCTTTGAGTCTGCTTGGGTCGTTGGCCACGGCAGCCAGCTTCTTCCCTGTTGCTGTGTAGAACTCCTCTCAACCCGACTTGTCGAGCCTAGCTACGGAAACAGGCAGCCAATCCAAATCCTCCAAATGCCGCAACTAGGAGTGCGCAATGTCCCACCTGCGCAGAAAATATTGGGCGCATCAGCCCTCAATTGGCCCCAAAACCCGAATCCCGAAATCATCCACACCAGACGTCGCCAAAAGTAGTTCCTTTTGGGGTTCGTCTATAGAATCCTAGAATATATTAAATATTCCCAAAAAGGAACTACTTTGGGGCCTATGGGTATAGTCTAGACAAGTGACGTCGACAAGCGCCCAGGCGCTCGCTCCGGGCGTCAGGCCCAGGTCCGAGTTGAAACGAATCGATTGGAAGCTCTTAGATTCTAATGATAATACTAATACTAATACTAATATTATGACGTATACTAATACTAATATTACTAATACTAATACTAGAATTAATACTAATAATTAAATACTATATTAGTGCTTTGGAGGGCTTCGGACATGGCTTAGCTTGGGGCTTCCGCAGTCTAAAATCCTAAACCCCGAACCTATCTCGTGCTCAGGTCTGCACCGTTTGAAGGGTAGGGAGGGCCTGGGCTAAGGCCGGCTCACGCCTTGACTCATGAAATAATACTCTGATGTCTGTAACCACTTGGTAGAATAAAGACCACCAAACAACTCATGGCTTAAACCTGTCGTCGGGAGGGATGCGATGCAACGGAGACTCACACAAGTGTTCTGAATCCATCTTGCTCAGTTTGGGCCTAAAGGCTTGCGCAAGATGTGCGAAGCGTGAACGTCCTTTGACTTCGTCTGGGGTGTGGGGGGCTGAAGCTTTGTACTTTCAAGGACTTCTAAATCCAACTAGCCGGACTGCAGGCACGTGCGCAAGCTTCGCGCAGAGAACTCCAAATGTTTTGTCGAAGGTGCACGAGGTGGTATCAACAGAAGTCGGGTTGCCAAGCGAAGACATTTTTCTGGGTCTATAGCTTCCGCAGGATGACGTTGACACAGCTTCCCCCCAAAAAAGAACAGTCCATCCACCCTTGAGGAATGCTGTCGGACATTTTCTCATCGGCGCGAAAAGGCTCAATTGCTGAAGCTCTTCAGATTGCAGAGGGGCTTCGAGTAGCTACCTTCGCGACACCCGGCCAATCTGCTCACGAAAGCCGCGTCGTTCGCGCGAACCGGTGCAGTCGAAGCCCGAAGGACCTCTTGCAGCTCATTGGTGGGTGTCTGGATGCTCTATAGCCCCAACATGGGCCCTTCATGTCTGCTGGAAAAACGGAGAGATCTTGACAACCCAAGCAACAGCATGACGGGGCCGCCTCCTCCGATCTCGTGCCCGTGGGCCGTGGGCTGCCATCATCCTGCAAGTGAGATTCGAGGGCTTCCTCCTGAATTCAGCCACGTTGAACCTCAACTCCAAAGACTCCAAAGAAAAGCTCCGGTACTCTCTCCAGTGTCGCCGCCCTCCTGCATGCGCTTGTCGGTGCCTTCATGGGGGCCTTCGTGCATTGGCTGAGGCACTGCTTAACGGTAAGGAGTGCGGGTTATGGGTTTCTGGACTGGCAGATACTGGCAGTGCGGATTCTGAAAATTGCCGTTGCGTGAGCTCGTTCTATGGAGCTCCGCCCTAGCTATGGCGTCCTTTGCACGCGTACAATTATTTCAATCGGGAAGCTCCGCATCCAACGACTGGAAGCAGCAGATAGCTTCGTAGTACATGCTCGCTGGAATGATCACTGTATTGGCTTTCATCATGCAGTGTTATGGGGTGATTCTCAATCCGGTTGAAATAGCCATGTTCCCATATCTTCGATAGCTTTGCTATTGCTATGATCGGCTCCTTTACGCGACATCGACCAAGACTGCCTGCAAATCAGCAACGCAATGCGCCAGCTCCGTCATTGACCATCATGGTCAAGCTGCAGAGCTGCTTCGGGAATTCCTCGCACTGAAATGTAGGATCACATTGCAAGGTATGCCGTAAGTGCTTTCTGAAAGGTCAAGCTAGCGACACAGGTTTAGGCACCATAAGCGATCAGTGCTGCACCGTACACAAACCCCACAAACAAAACTGTCCGTCGTGCTATCGCCAACGCACTTATTAAACTGGCCCTGAACCACTTGGATCATGTCATGGCCTTCCTGCAGCTCTTCTGCTGCCAACTTTCTGGCTTGCCTGGCCGAAGGCTCGACGTCTACAGATCCATGCAAAATCCCTGTCTGCAAGCTGAATTGCCACAAGCCACACGCGTGGCAGCAAGAAAGCTTTTGACACTGTCAACGCTCATCTGCTAGGACTAGGATAAGCCGCGCTGCAGACGTACTCTCGTCCGCCTTTGGAGGTGCGCCTGATTATAGTTCGTTGCTACCTTGTGCGACACACGAAGCCTTCGGAATACACCAAAGGAGCAAGGTTCAACGCACCTCTGCTGATGGGGCTTGCTATCATGTTGAGCCAATCTAACGTAGACTCAGGTTTGAGTGAGAACGGGACTCTGTGTCAACTTGAGACAGATTGCTAGTCCGGCCAGCGGAACCCTCTTCTCGGCATGCACCTGCAGTGTTCAGATTCGGTAATAATTATTCGATCCTTACATTCCTTCCGTGCCAGAGAACTGGGCTCAGACAGGGCTAGACTTGCGTCCAAAACTAGGGGCTGATGATAAGACAGCCTTCGCCTCAACATGAACCTATCATCCGCACCTGTGCTGATGCTCTGTGCTGCACATCTCAGATGTCCTTACCAAGCGCGGTCAGGATCTCCTTCTGCTTGGCGGCATACTTCTCGGCCTCAGACTTGATGGCCTGAATACGATCATGTTTTGCGGCATCGAAGAAGCTCTGCATGAAGACCTTGGCTTCCTGCTCCATGTCCTGATGCAGGGGCTTGTGGTATCCTGTGAGCATCATCGCGGGTTTGCCCTCTGAAAGGTCCGGAGCTTTGGAGCTGCATCTCTCGATGCCTTTGAAAGGGTCATCCTTGCCCATGGAACCATTAACTCCATTTCCTCAGCTTCATGCAGCCCGACCCTCCAGTACGTCCAAGACTGCACAACACAAACAGCTCTAGCCGGCTCGACTTGTATCCATTGTAAGTGCAGGTCCATCCTTCGTGGTCACGTGGGAGGCGCCCCCAAAAGCAAGGACGTTGTGAGCCTGCAGCCTCTTCAGCGGCCATCCCTGCCACAATGCCCTTTCGGACAACTTGGCAAGCCTTGCATCGTGATCGGTCTTGAGTTGCCCGTCCTCGCATAGCGTTCAAATTTCACAAGAACAAAGTTTTTCACGCTGTGCGAGCCTGGACCTCGTCCGACACAGCAAAGTACAAGTACTTGAACAAGAGGTGGCCGTTCTCGTACCAACAATTTTCAGAATACATTCGGTCCAACTCAATTTCCGAGTCATCAAGGAAGTGGGTGATGACCTTGTGGAGGAAATGCTGGAAGATGAACTGGGCGGTCGTGTTCAGATAGTGCGCTTCGTCCTCACGTACACTGAGGTGGTACTGCGTCTTGTACGGCCGAACCGTGTTCTGATTGAGTAGAGACGATTCATCCTCTTGCGTCAGCGGCGTAATCGAAGCGCTTGGACTGTCGGTGCTCACGGAAGGTCCGGCTTTGGGTCCTTAAAACTTAAGATCGGCTAATGGCGACCCCTGAGATCACTGCGCCTCCCTTAGCAATGTTCCTGCAAATCTATGTTCACGTGACCGTATGACACCTAAACAGAAGAGCAAATCTCAATGACAGTCACAAACTGACAGGCGGACAGCCATGCAGGCAGGTGAGCCACAACGTATGTAATGATGCGCATCCAAGCCACTTGGTGCTAGCTCGGGATAGTATGCGGCCACGAAGTCCTTCTGCTGCTCGTCCGTCATCGTCTCCACAGACTGGCGGAGCTTTCGTTGGTGGACTACGTACGACATTCCTCAGAAGTTGTGCGCTGGTACAGTTTGCAAACATGCCAGACGCGAGTCACAGCTTGCAATTAAGTCTTTCCTTTCTACTCCAAGCAACCTGTAATCAGTCTCAGCTCTCCTGCCGAAATGGGCGCATCTGAGGCCCACGCGTGTTTGGCGAGAGAGGCATGTTCTCTCCAGAAATGCCGGCGACCGGGTCAAGAATCGATTCGCGAGAAACTCGCGAACATCATGGTAATAGAGCCTGTTGAGGACTCCTTTCATGATGTCTTTGAATGTGCCGTTGCTTCGCAGGTGTTCGAACTGCTGCTCTTGCAGCACTACTTCCAAGGCCATTGAGTAGCTGTCATGGCAGTGGTGCGCCAGCCACACTGAGAGTAGAGGCACAAGCTCAGCGGCAAAGATGCCCTTGACGTGCCCGATTACGCGGATTTGTATGTAGTGCTCTGCATCCGCTGTGTTCTGCACCTGACATGATCTTTCACAGTTTACAGAACCGCAATAACGTCTGATTGCCTCGCCGAGGCTCGCGACGACTTGATGCGCGACTGAGAGCCCAGCAGCGGTGGCGGCCATGAAGCGCATAATGTCAGCCCGCTTCATTACTGGCATTTCGTACATACCGGCTAGCAACACGGCATTGTCCTTCAACCTGGCAGTGCGCTGCCACAGCCTGCGATGGTTCAAGCAGGAACCTTTTACAGTGTTCACACGTCATGCAGCGCCTTCTCGGGGCAAATGCACTCTAACCATCGCACACAAGTCTTTCTGCGCATGTCTGAACAACAGAGGCAGGAACGCGTGCATCCCTTCTTTGTTCATGTACCAGTCTTCGTTCTCAAGTTCCTGGATCACCTGAAAGTGTGTCGGCTAACACTGCTGTCTCGGGTTGGGTGGGGCTCCCTTCAGGTGACCTCATCAGTGACCTCCACTTGTTGAATCGAGACACCTGCTCCAGATCTCCATTCTTCGCAGAAAGGCGAACCCCGTAGGCTTGCTGCACGAAGCGCAGCTCTTCTGCAAGAGTCTGCGCTGAGCGTGCCGTTACCTTCTCGATCAACCCCAGATCGGGCGAACTGCTTGGGCGATCCAGACGATTTAAGCGACAAGTTTCTGCCATCTTCTCAACTTGCAAACAAAACTCCAGCAGGTTGTGTCCCAGACTGCAGTCCGAAATGCTGTCCTGCCTCGCAAAAAGCTTCGTGAGCATGTCGTTCGTCGTCTCAAGTGATGCATGCAGCCACTTTTCCACATTTGTCAAGAGGACTTCGCTCTGTGCTGTCATCAAGTCATTGTAGCGCTGCTTGAGCTTCTCAGTCCCCACTCGTTCCCGAAGCATGCGAAGCCACGGTGACTGCTGCTCGTCAGGCTTCTCACGCGAGATGCGGCCAATAACTTCTGCCAAGGTTTTGTCCAGTTTGCTGGCACAGTTAGGTTCATCAGATGGGTCGTTTTCACGCCATCCCGTTACGAGAAACTTGTCGTTGCAACCTGGCAGTTTGGTGTCCATGTTGGAGAAAATCGTGTCGTAGACGTCTTTGAAGGTTTTGCACGCTTGAAAATTGATGGGCTCATACAAATCGCCTTGGGTGAGCGCAACAATGATGTGGAACGGGTTCGCGGCATCATGCTGCCGGTTCTTGATCACGTCAAGTTCTGGCCAACAGATGCCAGGCTCATCCGCTTTCATCCTCAGAACTCAGCAACAGTCAAGGCAACTTAATTAGGCTTTCAGGATGGAAACCGTGGCACTGCCAATGCAGATTGGCATGCGAGGCTTGCACATGGTACGTGTTGGTAAGCACCGCACCAAGATTGGCAGATGATCAGCACTCCACTTCCTGGCCCACCTGCTTTCGCCCTGTCGTTCAACATCGCGTCGATGGATTGAAACACGCCATCTGCTTCCTTGGGTCGTGGGGTGAAGCCGATGGTGTTCAATATAAATGTCGGCCATCCACTGCGAGAGCGGACCATGACGTTCACAGGTTCCAGCGTAAAGTTGTGGTGACCTTTATTCGGGTCACCGCTTCGGATGCCAGTCATGATTTCGTGCATGGTCCTCTGGTACTCTTTCGGATCCTGCAAGGGACTCCAGCGCAAGCTGAAGGATTTGTAGGACACACAAAAAGGGGTGCAAGTGACTTCAATCGCTGTCCTTGCCCTCATACTTCAACTCCTGGTGGAAATGCACCGTGAAGTGGTCCTCATCTGCATCTTGCCCAGATGCAACAGGCTCCACAACCGATGTCATCAGAACATTGGCTGCAGTGGTCATGTCCTTGCCGGTCCTTGGCAAGAGAAAAAGCCTTTGTGGGCCCCTCGGCAGGATTGCAAACGGCCTATGCAGACCTATACATGTCTATAGCACAAGCTCAGCGAACGGCACGGCCACATCTTTCTTGTTCACGATTTGCGCGCAAGTTGTATCCTTGCCCATTGAGGTGCAACCGATGGCTGCCGCAAACGTAGTCATGCTTTTGGCCTCTGCGCCCAAAACTTCGCCATTGACATTGAGGAAGTGGTTTGCTTTGGCCATTGCATTCATTTGCTCCTTGACTCGATCCTCTTCACTCAATCCAGCTGAAACGCCGGCATTGCAAACGCCTTGCAAGGCGGAGAAGTCCATCTTCAGCACTTTCTGTGGATCGCAGAAGGCCGCAAGTTCCGAAACACGCCGTGGCAAATCGGCTCGCGGGATCTGCAAAGGCTCCTGTCGCCAAACTGGGTGGGCTTCTCGCAAGAATCTCTCGACACTCCACCTCGCTCGATCTCACGACTCCAACTCAACTTTCATGTTCGGAGTCCTCAGCCACTGCATTTGCCGGAGGATCTTCGGGTGGCGGGTTCGCAGGCTGCCCTGCCGTCTGCGGAGGGGTTTGGCTGGCCACTGCATCTGGGCCTTCTGGGGGGCGCTGAGTCGCGCCGTTGGTGGGAGGGTAGAGCCTGTCCCATGTAGGATGGGCGAAAGAATATGCCGCTGCCATCTCCAAAATCACCGTTCAATCGCTAATTTATAGTTATAGCAATGATATACTTCCAGTCATGAACACTTGAGCACAGAAACGGCATGAGTCGCAAGACTACTCATGTGTCAAGACAGTCGAGCGGATCAACCTGGTTCTGTGAAGGTTCTGCCAGAGTAGATCTGATGCAACCCTTGCAGCTGCTTGTGCCTTGCGCCTCCTTGCAACGTCAACTCTTTGGTCCTGGCCAAGTGAGACGGCTTGAGAACATGCATAAACACTCCCGTCTCACTCTGGCAAAGCCCAGTCTGCTGTGCGACTATACACGATGCGCTACATGCACTATGCCTTGAAGACGACGAGACCCAATGACACCGAGAGCCATGGCCTGCGACAGTCGGACAGTAAAGCAAACATACACTACGTCATAATACTGATGATGATGATGATGATGATATTGATTGAATACAGACTTTCCTGTGACATACACCCAGAACGTGTGTGACTGCAATATACCGAATGCCAGGCCAGCCCAGAAAGCCTCAACCAATGCAGATGCCCCGGCTGCACTCGGGCCTGATCTGTCGTCACCATGAAGGCTCCCTGAAGCCAGTCCTGGCTTGCATGGCACAATGGCGACCCATCGTGCCGAGTAGCAGTAGCAAACTGATTCGTTGTGAGCATGAGCAAGACAATGAGTATTGCCTCCTAGTTTTGGCTGCCGATGGTTGCAGTCATAACAGTCGTCGCCGTCGATGTCGCCATTGCCGTAATGAAGAAGAGGGTAATGCTTCCAACCTTGCGGTTGGTGTTGGTGGCGGTGACGGCGACGAATCGCCAAGCGTCTGGCCTGAACCGAGTCGTGTGAAGCATCTGACTGCGGACTCTGCTCCGATAATGAAAGGCCGGCATCGAGCCCAACCCGAAATCCTCATCATGTGCCCCATATGGCCTTTGACCGCCCCTGTCCCAGCCAGCCTGCCACCCGACAATCGTATGGCTCTCGGGGCAGCAACCCCACCTTTCGAGCGTTGCAAGAAGCTGGCAGTGCCCAATATTATCCTATCTGCCCAACAACTCTTGAGCTTATGAGCCCTAACCCAAACTCCGAAATCATCCACAACCAAGCTGAGTTCCCGGAGTTTTCGGGCGCGGGGCCTGGTCTAGACAGGTCTACTTGACCAGGTAACCTTAAGCTGCAGTGACGACATCTGAAACCAACACCTGAACCTCGAAGACCCAATTGTGCCCAGGTACTCGCAGCGGTCAGGGCCCGAGTTGAAACGAATCGACTGAAGCTCTTAAGATATGGGAGCTTCCGAATATTAGGGGTACCTTCTTTAGGGGTCCTTATAATAAGGATCCTACTATTTAGATGCTATATTAGGGTCCCCTATTTGCGGAAACCCCCATATTGGGCTTTGGAAGGCTTCGGACAGGTCCTCCAGGCTTGGCTTCAGGTCTCTGGGGGTCAGGAAGGCCTGGGATAGGTTCGACTGTAGATTTTTGTTACCATAAGCAGGAGCACCCAAGAACATCCCAAGAACTAAGGGCTTAGGGCTGGGAGCTGAAATAGGAGGACATGCGACGCAACAAGCACTCACACCAAGGCTTTGCCTGTCCATCGTGTCTTCTGCGTTTTGGGCCAACAAGGCTTGCGCTTGCGACGTGTGAACGTCGCATCGCCCGACTTGTAAACCACTTCCTTGAGCCCTCTGATTTGGTGTCTTACACTGAAGCTTTGACCTTGCACTGATTTGTAAATGTACAAGGTACACATATCAGCATACGTTCAGTTGGCACCCGAAGCATGTCGCTTAGCAGTCGTCCAAAGGATGAAATTGACAGAGCCCACGCCCCAGGCGAGCACAGCCTACGCACCCCGGACAAGTTTTACCATGGGCGGCACAGACAATCAGTAGTAGTCTTCAAGGCACCGCAACTGCTCTCTTTTTTTCTCGGAAGTGGACTTTGGCTTGAGAGTTGAAGCCCTCTACGTTGCAGAGGGGCTTCAAGTAGGAGCTTTGCGACACTCGGCCAAACTACTCACGAAAGCCGCGTGCGGGTGAACCGGCGCAACCGAAGTCCGAAGGACTGAGGGAACCTCCACACACGCCATTGGCGAAAATGGCCCCACAGCTCTATCAGGGGCAGCTCTGAATTGTCGATCTTGCAGATCATGGGCGGGCTCTGGATGCCCTAGCATTCGCCCTTGCATGTCTGCTGGAAAACGGAAACAACGGGATGACGGGCCTCTTATCTCGTGGATCTGCAATTTGCAAGCATGTCCCTGTGGCCGAAGTGCTTTCAAGAGTAGAGTTTTCCTCTTTCCGGCGGGCTGCCATCCTCCTTCAAGTGAAATTCAAGCCCACCTAGGCTTGATGCACAGAGGCCAAGTAGAGGGAAATCAGTGACATTCCAAAGACGCCGACGCACCTCAGCTGCGATGCGCCTTCATCTGCCCGGCTACGGGATGTTGAGAAGGTTTAGAGTTTATGAGCTTAGGGCTTGAGATGACAAGTTCATCACCCCACTGGCCTGGTGATGTGTGGTGGAGAGCTCGCTTGCTGTCGATGTCAGCTTCTGGGCTGTAAATGTTAGTCTTACGATGGTGGAGACGAGAGTCTCAGGCCCCGCAAGCCTCAACTGCTACAAAAACGCACCCCGAACAGGTCTGGTGTATGATCTCGTGCCTCTCGACAGAGACATGTAACCAGGCTGATCATGCATGCAGTCGATGACAAGACTTCGGTATGCAGTGGTGCAAGATGCTAATGCACGGCATGCCGTGCTATAGAGGTTACACAGCAACATATGAGTCATGCTGCACATGCAGCAACCCCATGAAGATCCATCGTCGGCCGAGCCAACATCCTCATTGTCTCCAGGTCTGTATAGTGATCAATGGTGGGATGATAAGAGATGCATGCCGAAGCTTGGCTGTCTTGCAGCCTGGACACGCAACTTTTCGGCGGTCCAGCTGCAAGCAGCCCGCCGAACGCAAGGCGAGCTTGGCAAGAGTCTTGTTCCTCGAAATAGTCACACACAGGCTCGGGGAAAAAGGACAACACCCCGAAACCTCGTGAGTTGCCTTCGGACACCACGGCAATTGGGTGGCACTCTTGAGCTGCTGTCGAGAATAGACTGACTTTGGCTGAATTGCATGTTTGGTATCTCCGTTTCGTTGTTCTGCTTACATATATATATATATATGTATATATATATATATATATATAATGTATATATCTATGTATATATATATATGCATGTGTATGTATATATACCTACCTCCTACTCGCAAGCATGCTCTCTGGTCCTTGCGTACATCTTGCAGGCTGGTCCGTCGACACAAGCCCACGCATGCGGCGGGCACTTAAACAAAGGTGCCAAAATTATCGGAGAAGTAACGGGGACCGTGAATGCCTCCTCGATGCCCCCGGAACATCAGCCTGAAACATCCAAAGCCCAAGACCAAAAGGCTTAAACTCCAGAGCCCTCGACCTTACTTGGAGGCTCAAGGGTAGTTACAAGTGGGGTTATATAAGTCCCCGAATATAGGTTATGAGTATAGTTACCCTACTTATAACCTTATACTTATAACTACCCATGAACCTCCAAGTACCGCGAGCCTCTAGGGGTGACGGGTCAAGTTGGCCAAGGCACTGCAGCGCGCTGAGCACAGAGGAGCTGAAGATGTCGACCTTTACAGGTTGCAGGCAGGTTGGGTAATTTAGGGGCCTTAATAATTTAGGGGCCTTAATACTTAGAATCAGAATACGGTTCTGGGGCCCATTATACTAGAGTTGTAATAAGGAGCCCCCAAAACAGTATAGGTAATTATTTAAGCCCTTATATTAGTGGACTGGCGGACGCCCTATGTCGCAGACATGGACGGGCTGGAGCGCCGGTGCACATGCGTGAATTCCCATGCATGTGCAAAGACGAAGATGCGTCAAAAGAAGTTGGAACTTAGCTGAGAGTCCTCGAGATTGCTCGGAAGTGGGTTTGCTGTGCATGCGTCGTCGGCTTCGGGGGGCGGCTACAGCAGGCTTAAGGTTTTTCTCGAAGAGCCGTTATGCGGGTGCTGGGCAGCTCAACCTGCAAAAGTCTCGCGTATGTGACAGTGACCGTGAACTGCCATGGATTCCAACTACCAGCACCTCCTTCTGTTCGGGCGTTGTCAGGTTTTACGGCTCTTCATGCCGAAAACAAACAGACCGCGTTGCACAGACATAGGTGCATACTGTGAGTCTGCAAACACTGAAGTGTCGGCACTCTTGCTTAGTGCATCTCAACTTCAAGTCATTCGAAGCACAGTCTCCGAAACTGTAGACCAGCCTAGCCAAAGACTCCCTCGGCATCCTCAGCCCCGAGATGACATGATCGAACTGCACCTTGCCGTAAACTGTAAATATGTCGAGTCCGAACTTATCGTCAGATCCTTCAAAAAGTAGATTATGGTTCATAAAAGAGTTGTACCTAAACCGTAAAACACCAGACCGGCCAACCTTGGGCCCTCTGCTTCGCGTCAGAAATCGAAGTGCAGCGGGGAAGGCCGCCTGAAGCAGGGAAATCTGAGGTCATTATTGTTGGTATTATTGGTACTGACTTCGTTGTTACTACTATTCTTAGTGTTGCGACTAAATGCATTTGTAAGTAGAAACACTGTTCTTCCTGTGCAGAACGGGATTACTATTGCCAATTGCTCATGTTGCAGGGTTACTGTTGATAATGCAAGCTTTGCGGTTGTCAGCAGTGTGAACTGTTATTACTTCCACGATGGTTCTTGTTCATCTATGATAGTATCATTGCCGCCACCGCTGTACACTTGTGCTAAGTTGTGTTGTGTCAGATTATGAACTTACTCAGCCAGAGTTAAACGAAGCGCTCACCACGCTATCACAGCAAAGAATGCAGGCAATGGCATTCGAACTCTGCGCGTTCAGTGCCCAGGCTGAAGCCGCACCACCCGGAACGTTCTGTCAAGCCAGATTTAAACAAGCACGTGGACAGCAAGCATTATGTGCAACAAACTGTGCGATTCAGCTAGAGGTGTGCGGCGGATCATGCACCCTCGAAGTGAAGAGTTCGTGCAAGAGATTTGTCTGCAAGGTCGTGAGTCTGCAGAAAATACCATACCCTAAACTCTAAAGAGTACCCACTAAGCTCACAAGCGGAGAATCCCTAAATCCGAAAAGCTTTTCAGTGCCCTCGATCCCTCTGGATATCTGATGGGTTCCTGTCCGTTTTCGGGATCCCTTTTTTCTCTGATCGGTTAAAAAGCCCGAACCTACATACTGTTAGGGCATATCCTGGTAATGCCTGTTCATGCCGGGCCGTGAAAACCGTGCAGCTATCCTTCTAAATTACTCCAGAGAAGGGTTCCCTGCAATGTGGGCTTGGTAATGGCAACCATCTGTGATAGGAAACCCGATGACGGGGCGCTGACCTAAACCTACAGCTATCCAAAGCTCGTAGGAATTGGAGGAATGGGGTACAGTTATAATTACAACTACTACCATTCTTCCATTCCCTACTAACCAAAGGTAAGAAAAGAGCCACGCTCACCTCGAAGATATCGAAGTTGCAGTCGGCAGCGAGGGCCATGCCCTCGAGGGTCAGCAGCGCCCTCACCAGCGCGACGTAGTAGTCCTTCGGTTTCGAGTTTAGGGCTGATTTTGTGGCTTTGGGTATGGGGTGCAGCTGTACTTCCGGGCATGTCACAAACTAGGAAGGTTTCCGAAATCCTGTGTTCAAGATTAAGATTTTAAACAGGGCCCGAAACCCTCGACCACAGAGCCCAAAACCTTCAGAGAAAAGGTCGAATTCCTATTCATCGGTTTCTGCTCCTGGCGAAGAAGACTTGTTCCCACTTCGGGGTCTGTTTCCTTTAAGTCGTCATTACCACAAAAAAACAGCACGAAAGCAAGTCCGGGAGGGCGAACTCGAAGCGCCGGACCAGTGTGAGAATTTCCGAGTAGAGCAGCTGCACGGCACTTTTCCTCTTGGTGATGTCGCTGCCGCACTCCACCAGCTGGTCCCAGATCTTGGACCTAGGCATAGGCAGGTACGTGGAGTCGGCACCTCATAATTTCTGACAGATTTGTTAGGGACCGTAGCCAGTGTACCTGCACCTACTAGGGCCTGCTGGGATGCTAAGACTGCCAGAAGTTGTTTGATGCCGTGGGACAAAACCGGCAGCATCTCCTCCCGCGGACACTCGCGCGGGAAGAAGCCGATCTCGATCAAGTCATCCAGCACAGCTCCGTGATCTCGTCTGACCAAATCCTGATCCGATCCTACGGCCCAGCAGAAGCCTCAAATCCTGATACCCGAGACTGGCCGCAACAGCTTTATAACCTCCAACTTTCCGGTCCTGCTTTCAAAACCTCCGAGGCCGAGGTCTACAAACCTCTGAACTTTGATTACTAAATTACTACTTACACTGCAATGAGGTGCCAATATCATCTGTTGCTACTATTCTATGCGTAAGTACCATCAGATTCTGAAGTAAATTCCTAAACCACCGTGAGTCGCAACTCCGAAGCTCCATGCCAGCCCCTAGGTCGTCATCTACAACGCACAAAAAAACCCAAGCCCTACCCCGAACTCTGAAAGCTTTTATAGGCCCTGGGCCTCGAAAGCCAGCCCCTTCAGATTCATAGATCCTATAAAGTGCCCTTAGTAGTACAGGGTTTAGGGTTATAGTTCTTATAAAGTTACTTTAAAGTATAGGGCCCCAAATCAGGGGATCTACTTTCTAGATCCTCCCCGGGGGTCTGGGTATACAGAAGCCCAGATGTTCATCGAGGCACCACCACGCACTTGGCCCAAACCGTCCGGTGGTGTTCAGGAACCAGGCAGACCATTCCGAAGTCGAGAAGGCAAATGTCGTCCTACGGATCGTGGACTCGGCGGATTAGTTCAAAGCCTCCGGGGGCCTCTTGAGACTTGCATGAGGGCTTGCAGGGGTGTGAAGAATGCTCAAGGGTCTCTGGAGATTTTCGTCAAAGACTCAAAGGGTTCTCTTCGGCATGTGTTGACTGATTCAGTTCTTTAGTCAAGGGCCAAGGGCCTAGAAGATTCGAGCACCGGGCTGCATGTCCGCGGTGTTCTGGGATTCGGGTTGCCTTAAAGCTTCGATGTTCACACCCATGGGGAAGGGCGATAAGTATAACTCAACCAAAGCCAGAAGGAGTTTAGACTCATACGGAGGTCAGCCACATATGAAAAAGCATTTCACGTGCCAAGGGGCATCAGGGATTTCACAAAACCTTGATTGTGAGATCCTGCTCTTCACCCCTATATACGCACTCAGATTTCGTGTGTATTCTCACTTCTCGACATTTGTCTGTGGAGCCTCCTGTGTCAGGATGATGTTGCCCGGGTGGGGATCCGCGTGGACCACGCCCACCTCCAGCCGGCGACAGGGAGTTGGGGTTGGGAGGCTTCAAGCGGGCCAGATATCTCTTAGTCACAAATCTTGGAGCGTGTCGGTCAGGGGGCGGGGCAAACAAAGGCCAATGCACAGCCGAATCGACAAGTTACTTCGCTAGTCAGACCGAAGAACATCGTTCTGGCTCGCGTAACTTCAAGGTGAAGGGCTTTCAGATGTCAGTAGCTACACGAAAGCCGCAGATGGAACTTACCGTTGCGTTGCTGCGCTGCACCTCCTCGCACAATAGAGCCAGCCCCGTGAAATTACCAAACCATGACAAAAGTGGTCCTTCACTGCACCCCCTCGACGCACAATGCGGTAGGCCGAAATTTAGTTGCTGGCGATTTTGGGCAGAAACCGGTTCTCTCAGGTTGTCTCATGTTGATATGAGTTCGCTGGGTGCGCTGTATATTAATGGCCCGCAGAGTCATTAGAACATCAATGCATAAGATGCTGCTAGCGACAGCCAGAAGGAGAAGCAGCAAGTACAACGACCCACAACATGTAACGCAATCTATGTCAAGGCCACTATCACATGCTACCACCAACAACTCTGATCATCATTCAGCCCCCTGCTGCCGCCATCATCCCAATCAGCTCACTGTCATCGTCATCAGCGGCATGCCATCAGCTGCATCAACATCAACATGCTCAAACATCGCAATCACATTCGCAAGAACTAGCCTCCAGGATCATCGCTGCAACCGCCTCGACACCGATTGAGATGTGCCGCTGAGTTACCCGCCGAGGGTCCTGTCGCAGCAGCAAAGCACGGTGGCCGGAGGCAGCTCCCGTGCTGGTGGTAGACGGCAGCAATAGCAATAGCACTAGCAGTAGCAGTAGTAGTAGTAGCAGTGGTGGTGGTGGTGGCGGTGGCGGTGGCGGTGGCGGGGGCGATGGTGGTGGTGGTGGTGGTGGTGGTGGTTGCGGCGGCGGCGGCGGCGGCGGCGGCGGCGGTGGTGGTGGTGGGAGAAAGAAGAAGCAAGTCGGCAACCCGTCTCATCCTCCGTGATTTTGAAGCCGTCCACCCACCTTGGAGCGAATTCAACACATGGTTCGTTGTCAGAGCAGGTATAACACAATGGTAAACACAAATACGGACCTACAAGCTTGCCACTCTCCCATCCGAAACCCGAAAACTTCTCGAGCCCAGGCACTCGCTCGCCAGCACCCGCAGGGCTGTAAGCTCCCAGTGAACCCGGGGGATGACTAGTCCTTTGATGCCACGAAAGAGAATCGGCGAAGGCACGTGTTTGGGCCCTCTTTAGGGTGGTACGGGCGAATAGCAGCTGAGAGTGACATGATGTACAGGAACACAACAAGTGCTGAAAGCTCGGGCCGCGCTTACAGATTTGGGAGTTTCCGAAAATTAGGGGGTACCTTATTTCGTGGTCCTTATAATAAGGATCCTACTGGGTATTCGGAAACCCCATTTCTTGACCAACTTTAAACAGACACCGGCGAAGTGTTGTGCGATTGATACGCCAGGTCAGAGGAGTGTCCACCGACAGTTCCGCAGAGCGCATCGCGCATATGCTCCATGGCCCGTCCCTCGTGCTTGTAGTCCAACCTGGGAGACCCAAAACATCGACACCAATGATAGCAGTCTAGCACGCACGAATTCGTAACGGTAGTCGTTCTGCTTGTGGTGAATTCATCAGCAATCACAATTGAGCATGAACTCATGAAAGCCATGTAAAGCTCATACACCGGCTGTTCTAGCCAGGCACTCGTCCCACAGGGTCTTAGCCCACTCGTCCACCACCTGCGCTTCTTCCCAGGGGTCTTCGTGGTTTCAGTGCGTTCAAGGATCCTCTTAAGCGCTTTACTGTCATCTCGTTTGGGGCAGGTCGAGAACGTGCATGGCTTGGGGTTCGGCGCTTCACGCTCCGATGCGACAGATTGCGAGAGTGAAATTCCGAGCCCCAATTCAGCACAGACTGAAGCCGCAAGCCGAAGGCACAGAACCTGAAAGCCCTGGGCGATAAAACCGCAGATGTGAATACAGCTTCTGGGTTGGATGTCTTTGCAAGTGGGGGCAGGCTTCAAATTCCTTCTGAAACCACTCACTGCCTTAAACAAACAGAGAAGTCTCATCAATTCTCCTTGTGTCCTGAACCCTAAACCCTAAACCCATCTAAACCCCTAAACCCACACAGATCCGTGGATGATGTAAACTGGCTCAGGCCCCGCGAAGTCCAAGAAGTGGGTCTCCAATCAGTGGACTTCATTTTTGCAGCTGTCTTTGTAGGGTTTTATAGGGTTTTATCAATTTTTTAGGATATTTATTATTTTATAGGGTTTTAGGGTTTTTGGTCTTTTGGCCAAGGCAACCACCCGAAATCGCCTGCTCGGGGTCCACAGCTGCAGCCATGAAGCAGCGCATGACACGTCGAAGGAATCGGGCGATGCCCTTCCTCGGAGGATGTTGGAGGCTGTTGTGCAAATTTTCACCCTGTGTATGTGAAAACTGGCCAGTATTGCACTGTGAGGATCTACCTGGCTTGTTGTATGTATTTGCTCCCATGGTCGGTGGTTCCTTTTTTGGCGGGAGTCTGTTTGAGAGCCCCTGTGCTGCGGCGTTGCTAGTCTGCTAGTCATTCCTCGCCGTCCTTGTTGCAATTCTGATGCATGGCCAACCCACAGAGGCACCAAACCGCAACAGTACGAAACACACAAACACCAACACAAAAAAAAACAAAACAACACACACACACATGCATACAACAGTCACAAGACAACACCCTGTCCTTCGGGCACCACGATGCTTCTTGGACAAGCTTGTCTACATTGATGCTCTCACTACTACATAGCTGCTGTAGTCTGATGCTTGAACAGATTAGGCTCCTGACTTGATCCTTACTGCCACCAAGAGGCAGGATGACAACATCCATGGCCAAAGCACGATTCAGACCCGGCCGCTGCACCTTCAGTGCATACTGGCGACCATTTCTCTCGATGCGGTAGACCTGGGCGTCCGGGAGAACCGGGAAGCGACTTTTCTTTAAAGGCGAGTGTTGGGATGCCGCGCCTGGCCGAGACTCGCGGCTGCCACACAACGCCCCAGGGACAAGCCGGAGCCCAGCTGGGCGACCACCAAACGCCGTGCCTCTTCGTCTGGAAAGGGCGCGACCTGGTCGCAGAGCTTGCGGAGCTCTGCTGCCACCCGGTCACTGAGCACGTCCTTCAGGGCTCTGCGGACTTAGTTCTTCAGTAAGCCCGCCTTTCCCATTTTTGGGACCCAAAAATACCCTAATTTTGACAACCACCCATCTAGGCCCCTGTATTAGGCTTTCGGGTGTCTCCCCAGGGGTTGCCATCCAGCGGGTTCAAGTCTCAAAGTGTAGGAGGAACACGCCATGACTTCAAAACCACAAGTCAAGCCCCTAAACTCTGAATAGGGCTTTAGGGTTTTGGGTTTTAGGGGGTAGGGTTTTGGGGTTTTGGGTGGGTTTGAGGGTTCAGGAGGGCCCCAACCGTTCAGGATGATCCTACTCACTAGCTATCATTATGGCCGTCTGCTTCAAGCCGGAGGAAGAGAACTCTCCTGAAACACTTTAACACTTTCCTGTAATACTTTCACAGACACCTTATTCCATCCGCAAACCCAACGAACGACTCGCCCCAAAACATCATATCCCACATAAACCCTAAGCCCCAAAAGCCCTAAACCCCAACTCCCCAAAAACCCGAAGCCCCAGAAGCCGTAAACCCCCACTTCCCAAAACCCGAAGCCCCACCGGCCCCACCCAAAATACCCACAAGAAAACGCACTGAAAGCTCCAGGTCCTCTCTCGAAGCTGCCGCCTGGCCAAGCTTCACCTGGACTCTTGCTAAGGAATTTCAGCTTAGTCACCGTAATATACAGAAAACAACAGGGTTTCCTTGCCTGAAAATTAACTCCCTTAACCCCTAAACCCGTATAGAACCCTTAAAGGAGCCCTAGACTATGGCAACTTAAATTAAATTCCCTTGACAGGAGCCCAGTCGCGAAGGCAGGCCCAAGGCTCTCCAAGGCCAGACGAAGTCTCCGCGTGTTCTCCACGGCTCTCTGAGGACCCGAGGAACCTGAAAGGTGAGACATGAAACTTATAGGGGCCATTGATACACCCTGGGGGAAAGAAAACTGAATCATCCACCGTCAGGTTTACTGCGGGCAGGGTTCAGACATCGATCGCTGAGTGTGCAGGTGAGTATGCAGACACGTTGATTTGAATTATAGTATTTCTGCATACGCATATGCATACATGCAGGGCAAGCATGCGCAGTATGCATCGTCAATGTGACATTGCTTGACTTTTCGTCGGTAACAGGTTCGGGAACTTGAAATTACCCTGATCGGCCCCGAACCCGAAACGAGGAACGGAGGTTGTCCGCCAGAATGCGCACGGCCACCGGTGTGAGGCGCCATGCCACGGAGCCACGGCGCTTGAGGAGGCTCCAGCTGAAGCAGCCTTGCACCTTTGCGGCTCCCACGTGTGGTAATGTAGGAGCCGTAACAATTACCTATACAACTTTTGGGGGGGGGGGTCCTTGTTGTCATTATAGTATAATGGGCCCCAAAACCCTACTCTCAGGCTTTCCTACTTCAAGGAGGCCGCGTCTTCTTTGAAGAGGAGCTCTGCGAACCCAACCCTCCAGTCTCGTGATGGTAGGGGTATGTATTTAAGTATGTATGTCTGTAAGTATGTATGTGCAAAATCTGATAGATTTTCGATAAATGGAAAGATCGATAGACAGCTAGGTATCGATACATCGGTGAATGGACAGACAGATAGCCAGATGTGCATACACATGTGTATACACACACGAATATTCACGTCGTCCTCCGATCTCGAAACCCTAAACCCTAAACCCTAATGCGAAGACTAGTCACTTTTCCGCAAAGCCGTAGGCTTGGTCCAAGGGGCCCCTGCGGTAGAGGGGAACGTCTGCAACCGTACAAAACGCTAGGTACACACACTGTACGCGCTGCAAAACAGGTTAGTTTCACACCCGTGACTCTTACAGCGTCAGTGTGGTGAGACTTCGTGCTCAAGGATCAACGGTCTTGCTCGTTGTCGTGTTCCTTCTTCGTCGACCTCCTCTGAAGCTGCTTGGCGCGCTTCTTCACGACACTCTCGAGCGGCTGCTCTACGTCGAGTGTGTTGGTCTTCAGGGCTTCAACCAACTTGACCGGCTCCATGACCTTCGTCAATGGATCAGCGATCATCACGTCAGTGTCTATCCATCTGACGATGTCAGTTAACTGATCATCCACTGGCTTGTAGTCGTCGTAAAACGGATCTCCTGCTTTCTCGCCAGCTTTGCGCCATAGCTCCTGTCTGAGAGACGCGATCTCGATGCTCAATCTCTTGTCCGAATGCTTATTGCATTTCGGATTCGAAAGCGTCAGCTCCAGACTCTTGCAGTCTGTCATCCAGATCTGTTTCACAAACTTGGCCGACGTAGCCTCCCACCTTTTCATATCGAGGCATCCGAAGATGTCAGTGACAGCTGCCCTCAGCACGTCACCGTCCTCCACACCTGCCTGAAGTGTGTAGGCCTCTGCCTGTATGGTGGAGCGGCATACCCTCCGAACGAGGTTGCTCGCCCACAAGATGGGATGAATGCTACCTTTGTTCCCTTTCCACAGGGCGCCGTCCGTAAGAAACACCATCCTTGCACCTTGGCTCCGGTGTCCTTCCACAGATGTCATCTCATTTATGATCATCTCTTCGGACTCATTCGCGTGAGAAGCGTCCGTGATCACCAAACTCAAAAGAGCACCTGGTGTCTTCCAGTCCAACAGCCCAGACTTGAAAACAAGTCCTCTGTCGTATGTGCTAATAGCGTACTCGACCGCTTTGTTGGCATCTCTGATGTCAGCGACGGTACCATTGCTAGAAGCCGACTGGATCTTGGATACCCTATAGCTTAAGTCGGGTCGGCATTGTCTGCAAACCCAAGCAAGGGACCCAGCGACGCTCTTCATCTGCGTCTTGTCAGAGTCCGTTAAGGGATCTCCCGGGTGCCTCCTCTTGTCAACGTGAATCTTGTTCACGTTCCTCGTTGTCTCGCTGCAGGTCACATGGATATTGAAATCCTCGTCTTGGCTTATCTCCTTCCCGCAGTACCTGAAGCTCCCGGTCTCAACCTTCCCACATTTGAACGTCTCAATGAGATCGTTCATGATCCAATCGCATGACGGATCACAAGCCCACAATAGATCGTCTACGTGGGACGTCAAGAGCAACTGTACAACCCCATCGGCGTCGGTGTAACTGTACAACGCGCGGTAGATGCGGTTCTCGCGAAGTCCTTTACCCTTAAGGTAATTCCTAAGCCGCTTCCAAAACCGTCTACCTCCATCGGTGCTGCCGTAGATGGGTGCTCTCGCCAGCATGTGCTGGTGGGGCTTAAGCCCAGGGAGTCCTCCCTTGGGCTGAGATAGTAGAAGTACTCTATCTATCTCTTCGCCTTGAAAGTAGGCGTTGGTCACGTCCAGGGACTTAATCTTGACCTTCCTAGAAGAAGCGAACGAAAACACTAAGTTCTGAGCTTCTATGCTAGCAGTAGGGCTATCACTCCTAGGATCACCCTTCTCAAGATCACCCCGAACATCCAATCTACTCTTGTAGTTGGCTTCCACAGTAGGATCAAGTAACCTCTTGTTGTGGTTCTTGTCCAGCTCTACCCATTGGGTAGGTATGACTTGATGTCCTTCACGGATCAACTCATCATACTGAGCGTCATCAAGAATGATCGCAGCACTGAAGTCCTGCCACTTTGCCCACTCCTTTGCTCTACTCTTGTCCAACTCCTTCTGGACATCCTCAGGGCACTTGTGGTACATTAGGATCTTCCCGTGCTTCTCCTTCTGCTTCTTGGACGTAAAGTTCTTGCGGCGCTTGCGCCACTGCGTCACCTTCTTGTCGTCCTCGACACGGTCTGCGAAGAAAACCCGTAAGGCCTCGTACTCCTTCTCCCCGGGGAGTGAGTTCCAAACGGTTCTTTCCTCTTTCGTCCAGAAGTGGCTAGCGTAAGCCCTCAGAAGAAGCGCTGAGCTACCTTCCGTGGCCTCGGCCTCACCGTCGGCGTCCACCGCCGTGTCCTCAGCCATCGGCTCTTGGATCCCTCCTGGAGGGTCCACCTGTTCGTCCTCTGGCTCCTCCACAGTCACGGCCCGTGACTCTTCACGTGTTGCTCCAACTCTCCTTCGAACAGCTCGTTCTGGAGCAGAGGCCGCAGTCTCCGGAGGATCTGCTTCAGCGTCCATTTGGATCGGAGTACCTATCCCAATTCCTCCGTCCGGTGGCTCTTCTGGGTCGTCTAGCAATAGATCATCCCCGGTGGCATCAATGTACCTTTGCTGCTCGCGTTCAACCTCCGCGTGCTCGTACTGTATGTTGCCACGGTTCAACACTTGGAACGCCAAAACCTCAGCCGATGTACACGGTCTGAGTCGCGCCAAGCTGGTCGCCACAGGCACGCCCTGATGCACCACCCAGACCGTTTTGTTATCGAAGCCAATTATTTTACTAACAGTTGACCACGTACTCACGCCTGAATGCTCATCTCGCGCGATCCTATAGCAAACTAGGTCGCCAGCTTGATATTTCCCCGGCAGGGGGGCCGCCTTGCGCAACACGGTCTTTCGCACCCTGCGACTGCAATCCTCATGGACGAACGCCTTTCTTGCAGTATGGCGGAATTCGGCCTGACGGCCGAACGCAGTCGTGGCATCTAACCTGCCCGACAAGACTCCAAGCTGTCCTAGCTCTTCCTCGTCCAAAACGTGGCCCACTCCTCTGGGCAGGCGTCCAAGCACCCACTGGGTGGGGCTGAAGCCTCCAACACGCATGAACTCGTTCTTTGCGACCTGTGCCTCGAGCATCGCCACCTTGACATTATCTTTGCCCACAACGTTGTGGTCCTTGACCAAACGCTTAAAGGCTCGCTTTATGATGCCTCCGTGCCTTTCGCACTTCCCTATGTGCTCTGGCGATTCCAGTCCGGCTTGGCGGATCTGGACTCCATGGCTACCCAAGCCGTGAGCGAAAGCGCCCCGGTTGTGTAGACCACGGTCGTGGGAAACCACCTTTGGCCACCCAAAAGGGGAAACCCAGTGCTGCATGAACTTCTGCAAGCACTTGGCTGAGCTCGGCTGTCCGCCACCAACGCGGACCAAGGTCACAACTTGATAGCTTGTGCCGACATCTATAATGTTCAGCCAGCTAAACTTTGCGCCTGTTGAGTCTGCAGTCTCCAGCACGTCCACCGAAACTGTGTGGTTGAACTCGTAAGGTGGTGGAGCTGACACAGGGTGTGTGCGAACCTTCTCTTCGCTAACCCTGCAAGACTCACACTTGAAGATCTTAGCTGCATTCACCAACTCTTCAGAAGCACCTGCCCCACGGAGTACCTGCACTAGCACCTCCTTAGGCTTGTGGTTCATCATGGTGTGCAACCTCCTGATCCCCAAGCGAACACGCCGTGGTACCTTAGACCATGCCTTTCTCCTCTCAGACTCTTCTTTCGGAAACCCTGCTAAAGGCAACGTGTCTAAGATGTCTGCTTCCTCGGCGAGTTCCAGATCATCCATGAAAGTGGTCCTATTATCTCTGGGATCCACTGTGGCATCTAGAGTACCAGTTTGCTCGACCTCATCCTGCCTTGCCTCAACAGGAAACGCTTCAGCAACGTGGTCCTCTACACAGCCCTCTTGCAACACAAGCAACAAGGTTTCGGCAAAACCAACTTGCGTGCCTACTGTGTCGATGCTCACAGGTGAGTAGTGTATGTCATGGTCACAGTTCGCCCAACTAGACATGACTTCACCTATCGCCTGCGAAAACGTCCCTACACACAGGTCACCCCTACACTGAAACAGCTGAAACTCTCTCTCAGTACCCTCGACACTGTTCTCAAACCACAGGTTCCACCTAACACTGCCTAGACTGTCAAGAACAAGCACTTCTTTTGTGTACGCGGAGAGGGACTGGAGCCAGGTCTGTACCTGCGGGGTGAGACCTACCTGGTCTTCCAAACTGTACACCAACAGCAGGAGGTCGGGACGGATCTTAGCAATCTCTTTAGAGATTTGCTTCTGCCAACCGATGTCCTCCAGAAGGATCATACGGTAGCCAGGGTGTCGCACGATCACCTTGGCGCCGGTCCTCTCAAGGGATCCGGGCTGGAACTCCGAGTTCGCCAGGGCGTAGATCGTGGGCGGCTCGCCCGTGATCGCCACCGACGGGAGCCCCAAGGCCTGCATCAGCAGGTCGTCGTGCGTGTTGAGGTTCTTGCAAGAATCCTCAAACATCTTTCCGGTCTCCTTCTTCATCACTTTCAGGTCGGAAGCCATGAGATCCGGAAGCATGCCTCCAACGTAGAAGGCACTGCCACCGCGCGGCGGAACCAAGAACACCAGCATGTGGCGCGGGTGTTGGTCCCAACGGTCGCCGAAGTAGACCCATTGGTGGGCTGCCACGTTCACTTCGCGCCACTCCCAGGGCCCATCGGACGTCCATTGGATCGCCACGCGCTTGCGGTAGCGCTGCAACTCTGTCGGGATTTTATCCCAGGAGTTTGCAGCGTGTGCCCTATAGGACACACGAACCGGTGCGCCTTCGTGCCCCACGCCTGGCTGTAACCAAGTTTTGAAGGCAACTTCACCGTGCCTCTTGTGTCCTGAGATCACTTGGCTCAAGTAACCCCCCGAGAGACTCCCCGGGTTGTTGGGGTTTTCCCCCAGACTTGCCAGGTCGTGGCGCGTCTCTGCGTGAGAAGTCGAGGCAGGGTTGGACTCGGTATGAGTCCTTGGGCCTCGAGGGTTGTTGTTCGGCCAGCGTCCCTTTTCTCCTCGGCCTTTTCCCTTACCCTTCTCACCTTTTCCTTTCTCTCCTCGCCCGTCGGCCTGTGCCGATCGGGTCCTTTCTCTTTGCGGTGGGTCCGCCGCCTGAGCGGTCGTCCTTCCAGCTGTGGTTGTGCCCGTTGGTGCCGCGGCCTTGTCCTCGTCCAGCTGGAGGATCGCCTGGTCCAGGCTTCGGTTTGCCAGCTCCAGGTCGGTGTCCCACTCCTTCTCCGTCCGCTTTCCGGATCGGACGTCTGCCACCAGCGACGACAGGAGTGCCCTCGCCGCCTCGTACTCCAAGTACTTCGCAGCAACGGCACAGGTGAGCGAGGTGTGGTCCGCCGCGTACTTGGCCACGAGCGTAGTGACTTCAGTAAGCTTCGCTGGGTTGAAGACACTATAAACCCTAGAAAGAAAAAGAAAACTTACCTTCTCAAGGGCCTTGTCATCTAGTCCTTCCAGCTCGGGCCGCAGGTCGTGGACCGGCACCGACACTCCCTCAGGGGTGTCCACCGTGTAGGGCTGCGCCGGTGCCTTCGAGCTGGCACTGGCCTCAGCTGCCCCAGTGGTGTCGCCCTCGTCGTGGGCCTCGTCTTCGAGCTGCTCGTCCTGCTGCTCGTCCTGAGCGGCCTCCTGCTCGGCAGGCGGGTCAGTGCTTGATCCCGCGCCTTCTGCCTGAGCTGTCCCCGAAGGGATCGGCTCTTCCACCACGACGCCATCGTCGCCTAAGCGGCGCTGGTCGTTCTTTCGCACCCACACCTTGGGCACGAACTCGAACCAGCGCTCCCTTGCGAAGTCCATCACCTTCTCTGCGGTGCTTCGAGCCTCCTTGGACTCCCAGTTGCACTCCGCGCAACCACCGCATAGATATCGCCAATTGTAACCGTCGCAAAGGTGAAGTAGACTCGCCTCCACTTCGTACGTCTCCTTTATGAGATCGTACATGATCTTTGCATTCGAGACAGACCTGTGTCTTCCCGATTTGCAAAACATGAAGATCACGCACTGCTCGTTCTCCTGGATGAGCTTGTGCACGGCCGGCACGACCTCCTTCATGAACGCCACCCATTTTCCGTTCGTCTTTGGGTCCAAAACCATGGCTTGCACGTTCTTGGGGTACGTGCCTAAGTGGTCCCTGAGGGACTTGTCCTTGCCCGGGTCGTTCATGTGCCGGCAGTCCAGAAAAAGGATCTGCTCCGTGGCGTAGTCCCGGAAGGACTCAAAGTTCTGGCGCAGGCTTTCCAGAAGCGTGTCCTCGTGGGCCTCGTTGTTCAGCGAGAACTCGTGCGACTGCCCCTTTCGCATACCACGGATAAGTTCCGTGAGTCCACGGTAGGTGCCGCGCCCACGTTGGCAGGTCTCTAGCTTCTCCAAGCCCAACGTGACCACCAAAACGTTCTTCCGCTGCCCTTCGGTCTCCTTCACCATCTCGGACAGCATGAACGCCGCGCTGTCCTTGTCCCCTGAAGGGGTCAAGGTTTCTTTCTTGCGTGCCGTCCCGTCCCTCAAAGGGATCGAGAAAGTGCTCTTCTCCTTCTTAGATGTCCTCTTAGGGATCACCTCCGGATTCACTGCAAACTTTCTGTGCCTCTCTGTAACGTTCGCCCCAAACTGGCTCACGCACAGGAGGAGGAGGCCGGTCTTCGAGTGCCTCGCCAACTGCAGTGTCCCGGCGTAGCCCGAGATTCGGCACTCGCCGCGCCTCAGGTCCTTGATCAGGCCAAGCTGAACCTGATCCTGCAAGGACAGGAGGCAGAGCACGTCCGGAGAGTCCAGCTCCACGCTGGAGAGCTCTCCCTGCAGACGGGTGCTCCGGCGAAGGCCTCCGCTCTCCGGCATGATGCGGAGGGCGAACGGCATTGCGAACTTGCCCGTCGCTCGAGCCGCTCCAATGCCCTTGAAGCTCGCGCCGCTCGAGCGCACGCTGGTGAACTGCAACCCAAACTTTGCCAGGACCTTTGAGGAGTGAGCCCTCCATTTCGTCCCGTGGCATGTCTGGTTGCAGCCCTCGTCCAGCATCACCCAGACGTTTTCGTGGTCCTCTAAGGGATCCACGAGCTGGAGTTGCGGCTCAGCAATCTCCTCGTCCAGGGGTGCAGGCTCACTGTCTGAGCTCTGCACGCTCTTCGGGCTGATGTCTCCTTCGAGATCATCTCGCTGCAGCTGCCCCACCAAGGCTGTGAGGGTCAGCTTGGTGTCCCCTTCGGGATCACCACTCTTCTCCGCCGTCGCCACGCCGGCGAACTTTTCGCGGCTTCCCCAGCCCTTTCCGCTGGGAGTAGACGCCGCCATGGCGTCCCTAACAGCTGCTCCTCTCTCTCTCGGGCCAGCTGCTGCTGCGGCGGCGGGCGAAGCTTGCTCACGAGGCTGTGCACTCCTACGCTCTCTACGTACTGGGGAAAACGCAGGCAAAGGTGGGGGCTCTACGTCCTGACTAGACCTAGCTACATCAGCGGCCCTACCATGTTGCATGCGTAACTTCGTCTGCTCTACAACCTGGTCCATCGCATCCTCAAGGCAACTAGACAACTCGGTTGAACTGACTTGGTCAACTTTCAACAAAAACTTATCCATGTGCTTGAAGAACTTCTTTACCACCTCACCTGCCTCAAACTTCGTAAAGTTGTACTCCTCCAGTTGTCTCCTCGTGAGGTTCTGCACCTTGAGTGGAGACTGCTGCACCTGCTCGGCGAGTCCCTTCTGCTCCTTAAAGAGCTTCTGAGGGATTTCCTCTACCACAGTGCAACAATCAAGGCAAAAGGTGCGGTGTACCGATCTCGTGCTGTTCCTGTTGTCCGTGCGCTTGTGCTCGCACGTGAGGGGGTCATTCTTCGGTACGGCCTTTGGTCTCGGGTTTGAGGTCCTGTTACCGCACAACATGCAAGTGGTCTTGATTACGTGCGCATTGCTCCCTGCTTTGTTCAATGCATGTGCGGGACAGCCTCCAACGCACGGTCCTTTGGGATCCGGCTTCAACAACCCGAGCTTGCTCTTAGGTGCCTTCTCAAGGGTCACCTCCTTCCTAGCCTTCTGCAGCGAGTCGGCCTCCACCGGCAACGTGGCTGCCCTGAGTGTAGCCCTTCCACCGCCAACCGGTGGAACCTCAAAGTTGCGATACACCCAGACAAGCCATGCTTCTAGCATGGTGCTCGGCTCTTTCTCCTTGAGGCCCCAATGGTAGTAATCGGGGTGGTTCTGCAAAACCTCAAGGTAGGTGCTACCCCTATGCATCCCGAACCGAAACACTTGGTCGCTGCCGTCAGGGTACTCTATGGTATCCCATTCCGTGGAGGGAGCGCCTTGCGACGCAAAGTCGTCCAGGAGCTCTTCGTCGGACTCTTCAAAGTCAGTCCTGTCGAAGAAACCCATGTACGCCGCAGGCTCCGTCTCCGAGTCCTGACCCAAGCTAACGTAGTTCGCTGTTGGCTCCGGGTCAAAGCTTTGACTCTCGCTGTCGCTCTCGCTGGGGCTAGCGATGAAGTCGCAGGTCTGTGTGGATTTATCCATCACACGCCTGACCTGGGCAAGGTGTGCCACTGCGGGCTTTCCTGCACCTTTCCCTGGGCCTGGGCATTCCTTGTCACCAGCCCAGTGGCCCTTTCTGCCACACGTTTTGCACGTGCTTCTGAGTTTAATCTCATGAAGCTTCCGTCTCCTGTCTTCAACAGTGAGACCGGTAGATCGCGGCCGATATCCATGTGCACTCCTCTGCATCACAGATTTACCTTTACCCTTAGCCTTGGCCCGCGCCATAAAGGCAACGGTCTCGCACTGCACGGTGTCTGCGAGAAACGCCAAAGCCTCTTTGTCTTCCTCATCGAACCCAGCGCCTATAAAGGCGGTGAAGACATCAAGCTCGACGTCCCTTAGGGAAGCGTCGGCCGACTGGGCAACACACGCGGTGTCCTCTTCCTTGTCGTACACGGGGAGCTCTTCTCCGTGGTACGCCCAGTCCTGCCCATCACCGTCCTGGCCGTCCTGGTCCTCTTGTCCTGCCAGGTAGGCTGTTCCGTCGTCGTCTTCCTCGGCGTCAGGGTACTCGAAAAGGTCTTCCACGGCCGAAAGGTACGTGTAAGCAGTCCCTTTCTGGGATCTCTTTCCGTATCCTTTACCTTTTCCTCGGTCTCCCTTCCTGTGGAAACCTTTCCCTTTGCCAGTTCCGCCTTTGGCGGATGGCTGCTTTCGTTCCAACGTATGGATACGATTATGCATGCGAATCAGCGATGCTTCAGCATCCTTCGTCGCTGTGCTGCCTGACATCGAGGTCAGCACCATGAGTCGCTCTTGCCGGGTGAGCCCGCTGTTGTCCAGCAACAGATCTGTCAGCACCGCTTCACTTATGTGAAGGGCCTTGTCTAATTGCTGAAGCTTGCGTAGCCACCGCTTGCGGCGGTCGATGTAGGAGATCATTGGCTCTCCCGGCTGTCGTGACAACATGCCGCCGACTTGGGTCCCTAACCGATAAAGTTCTTTCGTCTCTTGTTCCGCCAGAGGGAACAGGCGTTCTCTAACTGCCTCGATCACCTTGGGGATGTTTTGACTCGAGAACAAAACGTCGGTACCCAAATCCTCTGCGACAATGTATGCCTCGCTCCTTAAGGAGTCGAGGAACTTGGACGCAAGGTCGGATCTATCCTCAACCTTGGTCTGCTTCCACCTTGTCATAGCTCGGAACTCCCACTCGTGAAAGTCACGAACGGTTCCGGCATAGACTAGGAAGCCAAACTTCGTCAGGTCTGTGTCCAGATCCTGGTGTGGTCGATATGCCAGCGATCCACTAGCCATGGCGACCACACGCCCGCGCAGGGGCGTACTATTGGGCTATGAGCTCTGGTTCTCTTAACCGAGAGCTCCGCTACCAGTGCGAAGACTAGTCACTTTTCCGCAAAGCCGTAGGCTTGGTCCAAGGGGCCCCTGCGGTAGAGGGGAACGTCTGCAACTGTACAAAACGCTAGGTACACACACTGTACGCGCTGCAAAACAGGTTAGTTTCACACCTAACTTTTCCAACTTTAGCACATAGGTGGTTGTCAATATTTGGGTCCCTTTTTGGGTCCTTATTATAGAACGGCACCTAATATTTAGGGTACCCAAAAAGGGACCCATAATTTTGACAACCACCCACATAAATGAACTGACCGAAGCAGGCTTGGAGGCCCACCTCCCGGCAGGCACTGGGGAGGTCTGGAAGCTGCTCGGCAGTTGGGTCGTCCAAGACCTGGGCTCTTGTTAATGGATTTATTTTAAGTTACCATGATAAGGAAACCATGATTTTAAGTTACCATAATAAGGAAACCATATGATTTACTATAGATCCTACTATGGTAACTTAAGTCAAAATCCTTAAATAGAGCCCAGAGACCACGGAGGAGCGTGCCTTTGTAGACGTCGTGGAAGGCCAGGGCCAACAGAAGCCCAGAAAGCTGAAACACGAGGTTTCAGCCTGGGCCTTGCCTCCGGATGGAAGGGGTGATGAAGGGGCCTTAATAATTAGAAATATAATAAGTAGAAACATAATAATTGGAAATATTATAAGGACCACCCAAATGAAGGGGCCTTATAAGAAATAGAAATATAATAAGGAACCCCCAAATGGTAATGGTAATGATTATTTAGGCCTTATATTCATGAAGGGAGTGAAGGGAAGTGCAGGTGAGTTTGGAAATCAACAAATGGCCCATGTTTACCCTAAGCAGGTTGGGGCTTTCGGCTGTGACCGCGGACAGCTATGTCTGCTCTTCCTGCGAGTGGACAGGTTGGCGTGTGCATGCAGTTTGCGAGCTTCGCATGCTTGTGCTGACAAAGAGTGAGATACAGCTGCCACCTCCGTCAGAGGACAAGTGAGAATACCAACTACAATTCCTAAAACTGAATTGAAGGCAACGATGCTCGCAGCAGAATCGTAAGCAGACAACACAATCCATTGCCTCGTAGAAATTTCTGCTACTGGGAATGATTGCTTGTCTGATTGGGTTGTGCAGCATTCTAGTTGCAGGAGTCTTCGATAGCCCCTCCCAAGGTGCTTCATCTGGACACTTTGGAAAGCCTGCGCAAGTACTCATACTCGTAGGGAAACTGCTATCGCGAGCACGAGTGCGAACCTCCAGTCGTAGCTAAAACAGTCATAGCATGAGGCCAGGCGCCTTAATCACTACAATAGGGTTCCTTAAAAGGGTTCTATATTACTACATTAAAGGGTTCTATATTACTACATTAAAGGGCTCTATATTACTCGCTGTATGCATCCCTTGCCCGGATGGCCTCCCGAACGGGAGCGGTGCGGCAACGTAGCCATGGCTACGAGAAGGAGCAGCACCCGAAGTCAAAAGAGCAAGCACTATATTAGTATCATGATTATTGTAACCATGACTATTGTTAGTCTTAGTACTTTTTGTTTCTATTTTCATTGTTAACACTATTGCTGTCACTATTGCTACCATCTCATTCATATTGTCATGGTTGTTATTGTTGTCAATTAGTAAATTAGTTACTATATTATTGGTACTGGTTACCCACTTCCTCACACCTGACATCTTCACGGTCGCAACCTGTTTGTGGCAAGTAAGGAGCTAAAGGGCAGCTGGCTTGGCCAAGAAACTTCACGGTAAAGGCCCACATCGGACTCCTGGAATTCGGCTTTGCGATCTTCAGAAACAGTTGCTGTTAGTTGACTTGTGGCTCTCGATCGACAAGCTTTGCTCTGCGAAAGGTGACTGCTCCAGGATTGCCAGGGAGGGTTTCGGGCATAGGGTGTAGGGGTGTTTGCGAGTAGGGGGTCGGACCATAGGGCCATGCCATGTGCTAATACGCTTGGCTGTCGTTTGAGCAGAGCGGCCGAAAAAAACTCCGGTTCAAACTGATTCAAATTGTGATTGTAAAGATCTGTTTCCCGCTGCAGTCCGGCCCGAAACCCTCATAGATGACGTGCATCGTGTCAAGCTAGCCCGAAGGCCGTCTGTGACGGAAACCTCTGCCTTGTGCCCAGCACCTCGGAAGGTGGCTGCAGCCGCATTTTTGTTCCGCCAAGCTCTCATGCACAAGTGGCCGTGGCTCAAAGCACTGGTGGCCTTTGAACCAGGCCATGGTGAGCTTGCTTCACGCGGTCGTGCGTCCGTTGCCCCGACAAGCTCAGGTACAAGCAACACGTCGTTAGGATTGGCACCTGAGGCTCCCAAGGAAGCGAGAATCGGACAATACATATCCAGTAATTATATATCTTGTGTAAACATCCAACACCTTGGCCGACGGCAAAGCCACGTACTGCTTTGGTACAAGCACATGGCAAGGCCGCAAACCATGGGCAAAGGACGCACATAGGACATGCAGCGCACCGAGGCCGCCGAGTGAGCCCTGTTTTCGTAGCTGTCAACAGCCCCAGCGCAGTGCACATCTACCACGTGCCTCTTGATGTAGAGGCGATCATAGGCCAGGGAGGAAAGATCAGTCTTCAGCCTTCAGCCACTCTGCCGTCAAATGCCACAGGTTCGACGCAGCAACACACGGATTCTATGTCCCTCTCCTTACTGCCACATGCGTTACCCCAGGTACCGAGCACGATGCGACAAAAATTGCTGACTTCCATGGAGCAAGAATCATGGCAATGTCCCCTACATGCGAAAACCCATTGAACACCAGCAACTCTAAGAAATCCTGAACTCTAAACCCTAAACTTCTAAAGTCCAACCCTAGCTTCCCTGTCTCGAGGCGACCTGAACTGCCCTCGGCAGGTCGCCCCGTAGGCGTCGAACCCATCGCCTGTAGCATCTATGCCATAATCGGGGGCCCTTAAACACAGGAAGAGGGCTGTGCTGCATCTGGGGTCCACGCGCTTCCTACTAGCCAGCCCGACTTAAGGTGCACATACACCCTTCTCAAGGTTCGCAGGTAGAGCTTGGTCAGGGAAAGGCTTTAAAGTTGACGAGACCCGAAGATCCACGTGCAGCAGAGTCTTCTCATGATTCCAGATTGTCTTTTGCACGGTCCTCGCTTCAAACAGCCCTGGTCCAGACCTTGCGGACAATGAATTCGGATGGCCTGCGAATTAAACCGTGGGTCTTGGAGCTCTTGGCACTGCCAAAATGTGGAGGTCCCCAGCAGGCCGACATGTCGGGAAAGCTGGGGCTCCTATGCACGTCACCGTCACCGGTCAGCAACGGAAAATACGAAAGCTTCACGTCGTGCTCAGGCTGCTTTCCGTGTTTGTGCAAACATCAGCACACGTTGTCCTAGGATCAAGACCAGGAGTAGGCGTAGCCGTAGTCGAACTCGTATAGTAAAAGTAATAATAGTAGTATCAGTAGTAGTTGTAGTACTAATAGTAGTAGTAGTAGTAGTCGTCGTCGTAGTAGTAGTAGTAGTAGTCGTCGTCGTCGTCGTAGGCACAGTAGTAGGTCGTCGTCACAGTGCCAACAGCTGCTGCAGCAGCACTAGCAGCAGTCGCAGTCGCAGCCGCAGCAGCAGTAGGAGTAGTAGTTGTCGTCTCAATACAGTAGTCGGCGCAGCAGCAGCAGCAGCAGGAGCAGGAGCAGGAGTATGTAGGAGTAGTAGCAGTAGTAGCAGTAGTAGTAGTAGTAGTAGCAGTAGCAGTAGCAGTAGCAGTAGCAGTAGCAGTAGTACTAGTAGTAGCAGTAGTAGTAGCAGTAGTAGTCGTGGTAGTCGTCGTAGTAGTAGTAGTAGCAGCAGTAGCAGTAGTAGTAGTAGCAGCAGTAGCAGTAGGAGTAGGCGGAGTAGGAGTACGAGTAGCAGCAGTAGTAGTAGTAGTAGGAGTAGTAGTAGGAGTAGGAGTAGGAGTTGGAGTAGGAGTAGCAGCAGCAGCAGCAGCAGCAGCAGCAGCAGCAGGAGTAGTAGTAGTAGTAGTAGTAGTAGTAGTAGTAGTAGTAGTAGTAGTAGCAAGTAGCAATCGGAATAGGAGTGTAGCAGTAGAAGTAGAAGTAGAAGGAGTAGTAGTAGTCGTCGTAGTAGTAGTAGTAGTCGTAGTACGGTAGTAGCAGGAGCAGGAGCAGGAGCAGCAGCAGCAGCAGCAGCCGTAGCGGCACCTCTCGGGGCAGCCACAGACGGCACAATCAGACAACAAAGGGCGACAACACAATAAGAAGGCACAAGAACAATCAAGATTAAACATCCAAAAGGAAACACCAACACTGCTTAGCTTGTCATACTCGCAGCAACGGGGAACTATGGTAACACCGTTGTTGACACCTGACACCACTCCAATGCTTCAAGAAGCATTATAATCGCAGTCGATTGGAAGTGTCGAGCTACCAGCAGACATAAATAATTCCTATCCCATAATTCGAACTGCTTGCAGTTGAAGCATTCACTCAATCGGAACACTACACTGAACTGAGAATCTGGAAGGCTGTAAGCAGCATGAGAGATAGAAGCAGACGGTTGTTTCAAAAACTCAAACCACGGTTCGAAGTTTGCCTCGAGTGGCTCCTTTTGGCAAAGACTTTCATGGATAAGGGCTAAGGCTAGAGGGATTTGGGGTTGTGGGTTTAAATTCCCCGGGTCAGGCTTTGGAAATCAAGTCTGTAGATGCCACGCATGCATCAGTGCAACGTGTGAACTTCTGTAGACACCACCGTGTCGAGGCGAACAAGTAGGCTTGGGTCGGCCTCGGCATGCGTCACTCTGTCTGTAATATACGGGCCTTAGTCATTTAGAAGAGGGTTTTGGGGCCCATTATCCTATAATATAATAAGGATAATATAACAAGGACCCCCACCCCCCCCCAAAAAAAAAAAAAAAAAAAAAAAAATATATATATATATATATATATATAG